TGCCGAGCTCGACGAGCTCGACGCCGGCGTCTTGCCTGCGTGCGCCTCAAAGTACTCCTTGGACTTTTCTGGATCACCGACCATCGTCGGATCCCCCGGGGTCCAACCCGCGGGACACACTTCGCCGTGCTCCTTTGTGTACTGAATCGCTCGCAAGAGGCGCAGCGTCTCGTCGACGCTTCGACCGACCGGCAAGCTATTTACCGTGATCTGCTGCACCACACCCTCATCATCGATGATGAACAACCCTCTCAAGGCGATACCGGTGTCCTCGAGTAGAACCCCGTACTTGGCGCTGATCTCTTTCGTTCGATCCGCCACAAGTGGGATCCGCATCGGGCCCAACCCGCCGCTCTCGCGTTCCGTCATTGTCCACGCCAAATGACTGTACTCACTGTCCGTCGACACCGCGATCACCTTCGCCCCTAACTCTTCGAACTCGCTCGCACGATCGTTAAACGCCGTGATCTCGGTCGGGCACACGAAGGTGAAATCCAACGGGTAAAAGAAGACGACGCAATATCCACCTTGCGCGTACTCCTTAAGATTGATCCGTCCGAGCTCCCCGTCGATCACCGCCGGGGCGTCGAACCCGGGCGCTTGCTCACCGACGAAAACCTCCGATCGAGGGTAGCGCACTCTCGTCGTCGCGTCGTCGGCGTACGCGCGCGTGAATCGCTGCGCGTGAACGAGATTCCGCGCACGCTGCGTCATCGCGTTCGAGTTCGCGACGACGGCGCGCTCGGCGCACGGGAGCGTCGTGCGCGAGACGGTGTGCGTCGCGACGGCGCACGCGCGCTGGGCGACAGCGCGCGCGGCTCGACGGAACATTTCGAACGCGAGACGCCGACGTGTGCGGACGGATTCAACCGTGTTAGTTATCTCTTGGGGGCCTGATGCCTGTGCGCGTTAAAGAATGGCGAGACAATTTATTAAACAATGTCGCCCTAACGCGCGGCGGAGGTTGCCTGGGGGTAACCGGCGCCGTTGAGCCACGGATACTTCTCCGTGCGCATTTGTTCGAAGGCGGAAATATCGGCGTCGTGCTGCATCGTGAGCCCGATATCGTCCAAACCGTTGATGAGGCAGTCCTTGCGGAACGGATCGACGTCGAACGGAATCTTTTCGCCGTTGGAGCGGATGATGACCTGGTTAGGGAGATCGATCTCGAGCTCTTGCTTGGCGTTCGCGTCAGCCATGAGCGTGTTGACAGTCTTCTCGTCGAGCACTATCGGCAGCATGGCGTTCTTGAAGCAGTTGTTGAAGAAGATATCCGCAAAAGCGGTGGAGATGATGCATCGAATGCCGAAGTCATTGATCGCCCACGGTGCGTGCTCGCGAGAGGAGCCGCATCCGAAGTTGTTACCGGCGATTAAAATGGAGGCATTGCGGTACGGCTCGTTGTTGAGCACGAAATCCGGGCGTTCCTTGCCTTCTTCGTCGTAACGCATTTCGTAGAAGGCAGACACGCCGAGACCGGTACGTTTAATGGTCTTCAAGAATTGTTTCGGTATGATCATATCGGTGTCGATATTCTGGAGCTCCATGGCCGCGGCAACGCCCTTGAGGGTGGTGAACTTGGCCATGCCGCCAGCGCCGGAAGCACCGGCGCTCTTCTTTGCCGGCGCTGGGGCGACGACGAGGTCACCAGACAAGAAGTCCTTGCTCTCGCGTTTGCCCGGAGCGTCGTCACCGGTCAACCCAACGCCAGACCCCAAGGTACGGACGTCTGTGAGCTTACCGGTGATCGCGGCCGCGGCGGCCATGGCAGGGGAGACCAAGTGCGTGCGACCACCATTACCTTGACGGCCCTCGAAGTTACGGTTGGACGTGGACGCGCAGCGTTCGCCCGGGAGTAACTTGTCCGGGTTCATCGCGAGGCACATCGAGCAACCAGGTTCGCGCCAGTCGAAACCGGCTTCCTTCAGAATGACGTCCAAGCCCTCAGCCTCGGCTTGCTCCTTGACCAAGCCGGATCCCGGGACGACCATCGCGTAGACGCCGTCTGCGACCTTCTTCCCCTTGGCGACGGCGGCAACGGCGCGCACGTCTTCGATGCGGCCGTTCGTACACGAACCCACGAAGACCTTGTCCACCTTGACGTCTTGCATCTTCGTGCCCGGGGTGAGACCCATGTAATCGAGAGCACGCTGCATGGACTTGCCACGCGCTTCGTCAAAATCCTTGGGGTTCGGGACGACACCGGTGATTCCGACGACATCTTGCGGGGAAGTACCCCACGTCACCGACGGCTCGATGTCAGAGGCCGGGATGACGATCTCTTGGTCATACTTCGCCCCCGCGTCCGAGGCGAGGGACCTCCAGTACTCCACGGCCCGGTCCCAAGTCTCGCCGCGCGGAGACATCGGACGCCCCTTCAGGTATTCAAAAGTGATGTCGTCCGGAGCGATCATGCCCGCGCGAGCGCCGCCTTCGATCGCCATGTTACAGATGCTCATGCGAGCTTCCATGGAAAGTGAACGAATGGCCTCACCCGCGAACTCGATGACGGATCCGTTCCCGCCCGCCGTGCCGATCACGCCGATGATGTGTAAAATAATATCCTTGCTCGTCACCCCGTCTCCGAGCTTGCCGTCGATCGTGATGCGCATATTTTTACTCGGCTTTTGCAACAAAGTTTGCGTCGCGAGCACGTGCTCGACTTCGGACGTACCGATCCCGAACGCCAGCGCCCCGAACGCCCCGTGCGTCGCCGTGTGCGAGTCCCCGCACACCACCGTCGTTCCCGGCAGCGTGAACCCTTGCTCCGGTCCGATGATGTGCACGATCCCCTGTCGCTTATCGTCCATCCCGAAATACGTCACCCCAAAATCCTTCACGTTCTCCTCCAACGTCAACACTTGCACCCTGGAGTCCATCTCCTGAATGAACGTCTCCGCGCTCACGAACGCGCTTCGATCGCTCGTCGGCACGTTATGATCCACCGTGGCCAGCGTGTTATCCGGTCGTCGCACGTCCCGTCCCGCCGTTCGCAGCCCCTCGAACGCCTGCGGCGACGTCACCTCGTGAATCATGTGTCGATCGATGTACAGCAGGAGCGTCCCGTCCGCCTGCGTGCGCACCGCGTGATCCGCCACGATCTTATCGTACATCGTGCGCGCCGTCGCCTCGGTCACCGCGGCGCGTCGACGCCATCCCGAGGGGTTTCTCGCGCGCGATCGACGCGCGCACGGCGTCACGCGCGCGCGCGCGAGCGCCATCGCGTCGACGTGTGCCGCGCGACGCGCCGCCGACCCTATCCGCACGCGCCCTCGAGGGGGTCTGTGTCGAGTCATCACTCGCGCACGGGACCACCCCGTGGAGGCCGCGACGGGGTGGTGCGCACACGACGGGTCTTGACTCGTCGAAGACCCCCTCGAGCCCACGCCGAGGACGGGCGCGCCGACGTCGATCGATCGGCCGACGCGCGCGCGCTGAGAGACCGCGGCGCGGGTTCGCGACTCGAACGCACGCGCGCGCGGGCGACACGGATCGATCGCGCGCGCGGGAAGGGGCGAGGACGTCGCTCGAGGACGTGGTCGACGAAGACATTTCGAACATTTGCGCGACGGAGACATCCGTTGAGCGTCATCTTTCGCGCGTGGACGCGCGTGAGGGGTCGCGGTGGGCCTACGTCCGTGGGAGAGAGGGCGCGTGAACGGTGCTCGAGGTCGAGATGGGGGCGCTGGAGGTCGTGGGGTCCATGAAGGCGCGCGCGAGAGCGCGCGGGGCGGCGCGAGAGGCGACAGAGCGGACGCGCGAGCGGGACGCGCTCGGATCGAAGCGACGACGATTAGCGGCGCGCGCGCGGGAGATGGAGACTTTTAGACGAAGCGCGGTCATCGCGCGCGCGGACGCGAGGGAACCGAACGAAGCGCTGGAGTCGCGTTGGTCGGGGGCGGGAAAAGTCGGCATGGCTGGTTTCGACAGCGCGCCCGGTTTCGCGTCGTTCAGTTGGATGAGCGACGAGGAGTATGAGTACTATGAATCGACGCACGAACACGACGATGCCGAGGACGAAGAGTACGAGCACGAAGAGGATGACAGTGCGGATATTCAGAGCTTTGACGGTACCACCACCGCTGAAAGTGCCGCGACGCTGAAACCGATCGAACGCGTTGATAACGAGTCCAAGATCTTGTACGCTGGAATCGCCGCTGCCGCCGTCATAATCGGCGGAAGACGCATCGGCGCGATTGAAAAGCGGCATCCGCCTCCACCGATGGCGAAGGTGACGACGTCAACGACTTTGAAGACGGAGAAGGAGAGGAAGGTGAAGGAACGGAAGGCTGCGTTGCCGCACGCGGCTGTGGAAGGCGCCAGTGAGGCCATCGCGATGCCTCCGAACGTGACGCGAGGCGCGACGTTCGCTGGCGTCGCCTCGGGCGTCCTTGTAGCTGCGGCGGCGCTTGGAGTCGGCTTCTCGGGGTCGTACAGTCGTGAGGATGAGGAACGAGCTCCGCGAGGACCTCCAGTGGACAACAGGAGCGCCCAGAGACGCCTCGAACTCTTGCGCGAATCGATGATTCTTGAGTTCGAGACGGAGATTGAAAAGCTTGGAGCGTTGAAAAAGGAGAAGAATGACGATCTTAAGACACTTAACGATGAGTTCATGCGCCGCATGAAGGGAGTGGAGCTTGGCGCGATGCGCCAAGAAGCGGTTCAAGGTGCAGCCGCTGGCGAACAAAGTTCACGAGAGTTGGAGCGAGTGCTCACAGAGTTGAAGGCGGAGCACGCGAAAACTCTCCATGAGAATGAAGCCGCGTTCGACGCGCGAGAGAAGGCGATGCAGGAAACCATCGTGAAACTTCAAAACGCCCTGAGCATTGCCGAGGCGGCTCTGCAAGAGGCGAAGGATGTCAATGATTCGATGGCTAGTCGACACGAAACCGAACTTAGAGCGGCGAGAGGGTTGATTCGTGCGGAACGGGAACTCGGAAGGAGTGAGGCGAGCAAATATCAATCGTGTCTGGATTTAGAGCGCGCGCATGTCGCTGCGCTTCGTTCGAATCTCGCCCTTACGAAAGTCACCTCGAGTGAGCGATTCGCTGCTCTTCAAGAGCAGTTGAAGACGATTTGCGAATCCTATTCCAAAACCATCTTGGAGGAGAGAGCTGCGTTTGCCGAAGCGCTCGCTACGAAGGAAGCGGTCGACAACAATTCATCGACGGCTGAGGCTGAATTCCGCGCGAAGATTTCAGAGGTTCGCGCCGAAGCCGAAGCCGAGGTCAATTCTTTGATGGCTAAATACGATAGCGCTCTACGCTCAGCTGCGGGCGAGCGTCGCGCTCTCAAGGCTTTGTTGGATTCCGAAATGGACAAGACGGGCCCTCGTCAAACCAGCGAGTATGTTTCATCTCAAATCCAAGGTGACATAGCCGCTGCTGAAGTCTTAACTAGTAGCAAACTCAACGCTGCGATTCTCGACGCACAAATCGAGTTTGAGCAGCGCGTCGTCGCTCTGAAGAAGACCCATAACGAGGAGCTTGAGCGTATCAAAAGGAGCGCCGATCGAGAGACGGATGGGAAGATTCGTGCGCTCGAGGAAGCGCATCAAATCTCTCTCAAAGCGACTTCCGCGTCTCACGACAAAGCTTTGACAGAAGCTCGAGCTGAAGCTGACAGAAAAGTTGCGGAGGCCGAAGAGCGTGCTCGGAGCGAGATTGCTTCGATGGGCACGAGCGATTCCGCGAAAGCCGAATTGTTAGCGAGATTCGAGGCAGAGCGACTGGAGATGAACGCAAGATTAGAAAGCGAACGGAGTCAGATGAGAGAGGAAGTGACGTCATTGAAAGCGGACTACGACAGAATGCTTTTAGAGGCCATCTCACAGATGCGATCGGAGGCTGAGTCAGAGGCCGTCTCGGCCATCGCAAAGTTACAGTCCGAGAAGACGGAGCTCGAGCGAGCGCTCTCGGACCGCGCATCGGTGAGCGACGCCCAGCGCAACGAGAGATTGAATGCCACGCTTCGCGCTGCGCAGATCGACTTCGAGCAGCGCGTCGTTGCAATGAAGAAGGCGCACGTAGCGGAGTTAGAGCGCATCAAGTCTAGTTCTGATGGTGCTGTGCAAGCAGCTCGCGCTGAGTCTGCCCGCCAGCTTGAAGCATCGACGCGTGAGCTCGATGAACTCAAGGCAGAGATGGCAAAGAGCGTTCCCGAAGCCGAAGTTTCAGCGGCAATAGCAGAGTTACAGAAGCAACTGGCTGATCGTGCTGTCATCGAGAGCAATTTGCGCGCCCAGATAGCATCCGTGCAACAAAGTCTGGAGAGTTTGCAGGCCAGTAGCTCTGATACCAACGCACAGCGTGATGCGTTGCAAGCGCAGGTATCCCGACTGGAATCTCAGCTTGCCGAGATGCAGAAGTCCAAGGATGCGTACGACACTAAGATTATCGAACTTAAGGCCAGCGCAAAGAGCGCACTGGACGATGCCACTTCGCGTAAGGACGTGAAAATTGCAGAGTTGAAGAAGGAGCTTGAACACCAGATGTCTTTGCTTGAAGAGCAACGCTCAATGTCTGACACTCAACTGGTTCGGGCAGTAGCGGAATTGAGCGCAGAATTGCAGGCTTATGAGAGTGACATATCGCAACTCGACTCACAGCGTCGTCGACTCGAAACCTTGCTCTCAGATGAGGCGTCGAAAGTGACTGAATTGTCTAGTGTCGTTGACGATCTTAAATCGCAGCTGCAGAATCGTACGACGCTTGAAGTCAACATGCGGTCTCAGCTGGACGCCTCGATCGCTGAGATTGAAGCATTGCGCAGAGCATCTGAAGTAGACGCTGAGACCAGTAAATTGATGTCTGACGCGACTACTCAGCAAATTAGTGCGCAAGCAACGATCGACTCGCTCGAGTCAAAGCTCGCTGCCCTCCAGAAATTGAACGGCACGTACGAGTCGGAGATCGCGAGTCTCAGGGCGGAAGTTAGTAGCGCGCCAACTTTCGACCCGAGGGACGCTGAGATTCGAGAATTACAGGAGCAGCTCACGATGCAGTCTGATTTGCTCGAACGGCAAAAGAGAGATTCGGAGACTCAACTTGTACGAGCCGTCGCAGAACTGACCGTTCAGCTGCAATCAGCCAAGGAGAGAGATATGACTCAGCTGAATGAATACGTCATCGAAATTGAGAAACTCAAGTCAATCCTTTCTGAGCGCGGCGCTCCCGAAAACCTTTCTGCCGTGGTTTCTGACTTGAAGAACCAGCTGGAGCAGCGCGCTGCCGTCGAGTGCGATCTTCAGAGACAAGTCTCTACCGTGAAGGCTGAGCTTGAAGCGCTACGCAACGCGCCCAAGCCCGAACCGATCATCATCGAACCGACAGACAAGCTGAATGCTCAACACGCAAAGATTGAAGCGCTTGAGTCCCAGCTCGCTGAACTGCGAAAGTCGAACGAAGCGTACACGCAGGAGATTGCGTCGCTCAAGGCGAGTGCGAGCGCCGCGTCGAATGAAGAATCATTGCAAGTGCTTCAATTGAAGACGCTTCTAGAGGAGCAATCCAAGCTTCTCGGGGAGCAAAAGGCTAGCTTCGAGGCTGAGCTTATTAAGGTCGTGGCCGAAATTCAATCGGCGGATGAGGCGGAGCTCCTTAAGGCCGTCGCCAAATTACAAGGTAAGGAGCCCCCCGTGAGATCGACCAGTGTGGATGTCGTTACCGTCGGTGGCGCGGACTTGAATGCCATGCTTCGCGCTGCGCAGATCGACTTCGAGCAGCGCGTCGTTGCAATGAAGAAGGCGCACGTAGCGGAGTTAGAGCGCATCAAGTCTAGTTCTGATGGTGCTGTGCAAGCAGCTCGCGCTGAGTCTACCCGCCAGCTTGAAGCATCGATGCGTGAGCTTGATGAACTCAAGTGTGCTCTCTCCGAGCGTGGTTTGGTGGAGGATCTGTCGGGGGTCGTGGCTGAGCTCAAAATGCAGTTGAAAACACGTTCCACCATTGAGCTCGAACTGCGCTCGAAAATCTCCACCGCAGAGGCAGAGCTTGAGACGCTGCGCAATGCGCCGAAGTCTGAGCCACGGAGCGAGCCGTCGCGTGGTTTCTCATGGCCCTTCAGGAAGAAGTCGTCTGAAGAAAACACGGATGACGAGAGAGTCATAGAACTTCAATCGACGATTGAAACGCTTGAGTCCCAGCTCGCTGAACTGCGAAAGTCGAACGAAGCGTACACGCAGGAGATTGCGTCGCTCAAGGCGAGTGCGAGCGCCGCGTCGAATGAAGAATCATTGCAAGTGCTTCAATTGAAGACGCTTCTCGAGGAGCAATCCAAGCTTCTCGAGGAGCAAAAGGCTAGCTTCGAGGCTGAGCTTATTAAGGTCGTGGCCGAAATTCAATCGGCGGATGAGGCGGAGCTCCTCAAGTCTACCCGCCAGCTTGAGGCATCGACGCGTGAGCTCGATGAACTCAAGGCAGAGATGGCAAAGAGCGTTCCCGAAGCCGAAGTTTCAGCGGCAACAGCAGAGTTACAGAAGCAACTGGCTGATCGTGCTATCATCGAGAGCAATTTGCGCGCCCAGATAGCATCCGTGCAACAAAGTCTGGAGAGTTTGCAGGCCAGTAGCTCTGATACCAACGCACAGCGTGATGCGTTGCAAGCGCAGGTATCCCGACTGGAATCTCAGCTTGCCGAGATGCAGAAGTCCAAGGATGCGTACGACACGAAGATTGTCGATCAGAAGGCTTTTGCTGATAAGCAACTCACAGAGGCTGTGGCAGAGCTGCAAAGCCTCGCAGAAAAGCAACTTGTCGAAGCTGTCGCTGAGTTGCAGACAGCTGCCAATTCCGAAAAAGCCGCGCTCGAAGCGTCCTACCGATCGAGCGCCGGCGAGCGACGCGCACTTTACGCTCTGATGCGCAATGAGGCTCTCAAGCAATCGGCCGCTGCGATGGTGGACTTCACCGCAGAGGTTGCAGCCGCTGAGGCGCGCTCGACTATGTTTTGGGAGCAGAAAATCCGAGAAGCCGAAGAGGCAAAGAGATCTGAGATTGCCAGTCTGAAACGCGATTACGAAGAGAAGATTGCGGCGCTCAGCGCCGCGAGCTCTGAAGACACTTCTATTCGGCTTGTCCGAATTCAACTTGCCGAATCAATCGATAACGAGGCTGAGCTTAAGCGCCAACTCGAGGTGATCAAAGCACAGCTAGGGGAGCAGGAAAGGGACGAGGTCTCCGTTGAAAGATTCCGCAGGACCAAGAATATCTTCAGAGCGGTTCGAGGATACTTTACGAACTTGCACGACGCCTCTCTTTCGCAGGAACGCGACTCACTCAAGGAGCGTTTGGCGCAGCTCGAGTCTGAGCTCGTTGAAAAGCAGAATTTGAATAAATCATTCGAACAGACGATTCGAGACCTCAAGTCCTCAATGACGAATGTTGAGGATTCGCCGCGTGACGACGAACAAATCGAGCGGCTGAAACGTGAGCTCGCTGAGGCGACAGAAGCATCTGAAAAGGAACTGCTGCGGGCCGTCGCTGAACTTCAAGCGAAGGCGCACGCTGACATGACCGCGCTGCGAGTTTTGGTCAAGACGGAAGCGGATGAACGCGTTTCTCAAGCTGAACAGTTGTTCCGTGAGGAACGGCAGGCGCTCATGAATGCACACAAGATCGAGGTTCAAACGCTTGAAAATGCCTCGAGAACGTCTCTCACTCGTGATGAAACAATCAAGCTTAACGAATTCGAAGAGATTTGGAGGGCCCGACTTGAACAGGCAGAACGCGACGCAAAAACTCAGGCAGAGAGAAGCACCGCGCAGTATGAAGCGAACGTGAAGCGGCTTGAGGCACGTCTCAAGGAGACCGAAGAGGGCTATGAGATGACCATTAAGCGACTCAACAAGGCTCTCAAACGATCCGCCAGCGAGAACGAAGACAAACTCAGGCACGATGTCGCACAAGCGCGAAAGGAACTGGATGCGTTCAAGCGCAAACAAGACAAGCGCGACGGTGGTAAATCGAAGACGGTGACTTACACTTACTCTTTCGAAGGGGATGCTGCCGAACTCAAACGTCTCAAGAAACAGCGCGACGCGCTGCAGGAGAGGCTCGAGCGAGTTGAAGCCGAATACGCTGCGTCGACTGATTCGGTCACGCCAGATTTGAGACGACGAATCGACGAGCTGGAAGAGCAAATGGTCGAAATTCGCTCGCAGCACAACCAAGACATGAAGGAGGTGGTGACTCGCATGGAGTCGGAACAGCTTTCGGTCGAGCGCCGATTGCAAGGTGAACTCGATGCCGCTCGCAAGGCGCTGGAAAAAGCCGAAGCCGATTATGAGACTTCCATTGACAAGGCAAAGAGCAGCGGCGGTATTTTCTCGCGCTTGTTACGCAAATCTTCAAGCGAAGATTCTCCGCTGCGAGACGTCGAAGAACGGATTCGAGAAGAAACCGAATTGTTACAAGCTGCTCAGAAGGAACAACGCGAATCGAAGCTACACGAGGACGAGTTACGCAAAGAAGTCGGCAACTTGAAGATGAAACTTGCAGAACTGGGCAAAATTTCCGCTGACGAGATCGCGAAGCTGAAGGACACATTGAAGGACGCTAGCGACGACGCCGTTACCACCGCTGCGTCAGAGATCGATTCCGTGGTAAATAAGTATGAGCGTCAAATTACCGAACTTCAGAAAACGAAGGATGAAACGACGCTTGACGCCGTTGCAAAGTTGATGGCGGAGGAACAAAAGAAACTTGTCGCCGCAGTTGCACAACTTACGGCTGAGCGAGATCAAGCTCTGAACGCGGCCGAGAAGAAATATTCCGAGGAACTCGCACATGTCACTCGAAAGTTTACGAAAATGCGCGACGAAGAGAGCAAAAATCTGTCGGAATTGCTCAGCAAACTTTCTACTCTAGAAGCCGATCGCGAACAGTTGCGGCTTGATGCAAACGCGTGGAAGGACCAAGTAGAAGCGTATGAAGAGCGCATCAAGCGCCTCGAAACTGAACGTGACGATATTTTATCAAGGTTGAAGAGTAGCGAGGCCGAATCAGCCGCTAATCAAGAAGCCGCCGCGAAGGGAGAAGAGCTCGTCAAGGCGGTCACGAAAAAATCACGCGAGGATAACGATGAGGCTGTTGCGATGGTCGCTGAAATCCTTCGAAAAGTGGCCAAACTCGAGGAGGAATTAGTCGTCCGGCAATTGGATAGAGATAACTGGAAAGGTAACGCTGTGGCTGCCGAAGAACAAGTGGAAAGTCTCCAGAATGAGCGCGAAGATCTCTTGCTTAAACTGAATAGAGCTGAAGCAAACGAGTCAAGGCTCACTGAGAAGGAAGTGGAACTTGTCCGCGTCCTGGCGGAAAAGAATACGGAAGTCCAGACTCTCGTGAAGAAGTACGAAGACGATCTGCAGCGTGCCATCGCTGCACTCATGGCGGAGAAAACACTTGCGTATAACGAGGAGGTACAAGCTGCCGTGTTGCGTGCGAGGGAAGCCGAAGCACTCGTCGATTCATTGAGACGCGACTTTGATAAGAGCGTTCGCGACTCGTCCAAGTCACTAGTGAAGGAGCTTAAATCACGTGAGCGTGACCTCGAAAGACAACTTACGAAGGCGCGCCAAGAATATACAGCGCAGGCCAGGAAGATGGAGGAAATCCAACTTCGGTTGGACACAGTTACGTCTGAGTACAAGGAGGCGCAGGCCAAATGGGAGAGGTCCATGACCATCATGAAGCAAGACTTCGAGCGACGCGCTCAAGCGGACAAGGTGACGTTGGATGAGAAGATTGCGTTTTACGAGGAACGCACTAAAGTGCTATCGGAGGAACTCAAACTCGTGAAATCGCAGGTGTCTGCACCGCAGAAGGCTGTTCCGGCGCCCGCCACGACGGTGGTCAAGCGTCCACTCTTCGAGTTCAACAAGGGAAAAGTCGCCGAGGCTCAAGCGAGAGCGGACGATGCTGAAAGACAGTTGTTGGCTGCAACTTCAGAGATGGAAGCGCTTCGAGTGCAGCTATTAGAGGCGGAGAACGCGCCAAGGCGCCAAATTGGCCGCCAAAGAATCCGCAAAGTCAACCAAGAAACCCAACTTTTTTGATCAGCTATTCAGTGTGATGAAAAACAAGAGGGTACAGGACGTTGAAATGCGACTGAACGAGATTGAACGAGCGAAGGATGCGCAGCTGAATCAACTGAAGGAATCTTACGAACAAAAGATTGTTGACTTGCAATCTTCCACTGCTTCAGATGATAAGGCACGGGCCTTGCAAGCGGAGTCCAGCAAAGTCAAGGCTCTCGAGCGCGAGCTCGAGGCTGCGGCGAAGAAACTGAGCGCTTTGCAAACGGCGAGTCAGGCCGAAATCGCGGCGGTGAAAAAGGCTGCCCGCGAGGAGTACGATGCGAAACTTAAGGCTCTCCAAGAGAAGGTGACGAGTCTGGAGGATCAACTCGCAAACGCATCCAAGGTTGCGAGCGAACAGATGGAAGCAGCGAAGAAGGCAGCCAAATCTGAGCGCGATAGTATGGAAAAATCATTACGAGCGGAATTAGCTGCCGCGAAGAAACTTGCGGAGGACGCAGAACGCGCCGCGAAGCGAGAGCTCGTGACAGCTCTACGCGAGGCGGAGCTGCAGGCTAAGAACGATCTTCGAGAGCAAGCCAAGAGGCTTGCTGAGGAGCGATCCAAGTCCGAGGCAAGAATTCGCGAGACTTCAAAGATGGCAACCGACAAGCTCAAGGCGAGGATCGCCAACTTTGAGAAAATGCTCGATGAACGCGAAGCAGACATTGAGGCGAGGTTTAACGCTCAATTTGATAAGCTCGTGGTTGATTTCCGCCGAGAGGTTGAGAAACTTCAGAGGCAAATTCAAGATGCCGAGGCTCGTGCCGATGAAATCGCCGCTTCCAAGCCGAGTCAAGCACAGGCACCACAAGTCATCGAAAAGATCGTCGAAGTCGAAAAGATCGTCGAAGTCGAAAAGATCGTCGAGAAGAGTGTGGAAAAGGACAACTCCAGTAACGAAATTCTCGGGATCTTTGAGCGACAATAAATCCAAACTAGCGATGGGCGTACTTGCAACGCTCCGGATGACGCATGCCGAGGGAGGACCCGCGTAAGTAACCTCAAGACCCTGTTGAGTTGTGAACGACACAGGACGAACTCGAACGGAAGTCGCATACTTCACCGGTCCATGTTTCGAACAAAACGGCGTATCGTCCACTCTACTCGCGGGACAGCGCCACGCTTTACCATCATTGTGCACGCATCTCTCTGACTGCGTTGCGGGCTGCGTGTTCGCCTGTTGGGCTGCTTGAGTCTCGCGAAACACCATCGCAGCCATCTCACCGTTCGTCTTCGTACCTTTCTGCAGTCCGAATGGGGGGATGATGACGACATCGGCGTCCATGCCATAGCACCGCACTCGAACCATGACGCCCACAGAGTGGCGAACGACGTTCATTTCCGTCTGTCGCGTCGCTGGAACGGAGCTATCAGCCTCAGAATCATCCGCCTGCGGCGGCAAGGCAATGGGCGTCTCCTTCTTCACTGAACGAGGCAATTCAAAGTTGGAATCGACCTTCGTGACGCTCAGCGTTTCACTCTTAACTACCTTGGACTTTTTCGGTAACGGCATCGCCGGATGAACGAGTTGCGTGCGGTCTCGAGGCGGCGCCCGCTTGGACAATGTCACCACCACATCATTCTCCATCCCGCTTGCGAAAAACGGCTCATTCGGTTTCGGAAGCTCATCCAACGGCGGCAACCCGTTATCTCGCCAACATCTCTCGATCCACTTCTGTAAATCCTTATCGTACTCGAGCGCGTCGTCGTACGTGATGACGCTCGCGCCGTCATTAACCATGTTGCGCACCCCGGTCGTCGCTGCGGTCCGCAGCGCCTCCAAACCCCTCCAAACCTGCGCGTACGTCTCGTACGGCGACTCCGTCTTCTTCACAACCTCATCTCGCATTCTTCGACACGACTCCACGAAACTCGGATTGAGCCCTTTCCTCGCCCACTGCGCGAGCTCGGTCAACATGCGCTTTGTCTGCGCGCGATTCACGCGCGCGCACCGAAACGCCCACGTCCCGTCGCTCACCGCCGTCCCCTCCAACCCCCTGGCGAGCCAGCTCTCGTTAAAAATCCGCATCACCTGCGCGCACTCGCTCTCCGTCAACCGATTCGACGGCTCCGTCGTCGCGGAGAGCCACGCGCGTCGGACGCACACCATCGCTTCGCTCGCCGTGCTCGTTCTGCCCGCGCGCTCGCGCGCTTGCCTCAGGTCCAGCGGGGTCCCGATCGCGCTCGGGACGCGCTCGGCGATCGCCTCGATCGCGTCGTCGATCGCGTCGAGCGACGGCGTGGGATTCGTCATGGCCTCGGCGCGTCGAAGACTGGGCATCGTACACGACGCGTGCTTCGCCTATTGATGGATTCTCCACACAGGGATAAATCAAACGATATACGTGGGCGGCGCTCGACCGCGGAATTCACGCGCGAGGACGAGCGCGCGCGCTCGAACCGCACGTCTCGGCGCACGCGCGCGCGTCGAGAGCGATGGGCGACGATGAAGCGATCGAGCGCGCGCGCGCGGCGTCGACGTCCGCGATCGAGTCGACGGACGCGCGAGAGCGAGACGGCGAGAGCGACGGACGCGGAAGCGCGGCGTTGGGGAAGCGACGCGCCGACGGGTCGACCGGACGCGCGCTCGAGCCGTTCAGACATCGCGTGAGGCAAGATCCGGAGTTTGTCGAGAGCACGCTGCGCGCGTTGAGGGATGGGACGACGAAGCTGTTGCGGTTGGAGACGAGCGGGTTGTCGTTCGAGGCGCTCTACGGATCGGCGTACGCGCTCGTGTTGAGAAAGCAAGGCGACGCACTATACGATGCGATCTTCGGCGCGGTAACGGATCATCTGTGTCAACACGTCGCGATTAGCGTCGCGAACGTTGCGGCGGAGGGAGATGTGGAGTTCTTGAAGGCGCTCGAGACTGGGTTTTTGACCCATCGGAAAGGGACGCAGATGCTCGTCGACGTGTTCAACTATCTCGATCGCGTGCACCTGCCGAGGAGTGGGAAGGCGAACTTAGAGCCTGTTGGGAAGCTCTCAATGACTCTATGGCGCGAGTGCGTGGTGAGAAATCCGAGAATTAAGCGACGAATGCGATCGTGCGTGTTAGATTTGATTCGTCGAGAGCGAGACGGAGAGCGCATTGACCGGGATACTCTGCGACAAGTCACGGACATGCTTCTTGGTCTGGGCGAGTCTGTGTACGTGGAGGAGTTCGAGTCGAATGTTTTAGAGGAAACAAGATCGTACTACAAGGCGTTGGCGCAAAAACGCATCGATATCGATGATTGTCCAACGTATCTGAAGCTGGCGGAGACTAGGATCGACCAAGAGAGGGATCGGAGCGAGGCATACATGGCTCCCACCACGACCACGCTGCTGGTCGCCGAGGTACGTCAACAACTCCTGAAGGAAATGTCACAATCGCTCCTGCACAACACCACGAGCGGGATGGTTCACATGCTTCGAACAAGTCAACTTGATAGTTTATCTTGTCTTTACAAGCTGTTCTCCGCCATGGATGACCTTGAGGGGATCCGAGACTTGATGTTCGAGCACATCAAGGATGTTGGGAAGGGCATAGTAAACGATTCAGAAAATGAAAAGAATCCGGCGCAGTTCGTGGAGGAGCTACTGAAGTACAAGGGCAAGTACGACGACATCTTACGTGTGGCTTTTGCGAACAGTCGCGTCATCGAATCACAGTGCAACCAGGCGTACCAGTACGTGGCAAATTTGAACCCGAGGTCGCCCGAGTACATGTCGCTTTACTTGGATCAGGTACTGCGTAAGTCACCGAAAGAAATGAGCCAAAACGAGCTCGAGAATATCTTCAATCGATCTATGGGACTGTTCCGTTTATTCCACGAGAAGGACGTCTTCGAGGGTTATTATCGCTTGCACTTGTCCAGGCGTCTGCTCAACAAGCGCTCAGCCAGCGACGATAATGAGCTCGCGTTCATCGCACGTTTGAAAGACGAATGTGGATACACGTTCACGAGTAAGATGGAGAGCATGTTTAGCGATATGCTCACATCTGGTGATTTGAACAGGGAATTCCACGAAACCAAATTTGCCTCGGGCACGCCGCTTGACGCGAGCTTCTCCGTGCTCACCACAGGCGTGTGGCCCATGAGAATGCAGAAGTCTCACCCGTTCTTGCCTTCAGAATGCGAAGCAGCATGTGCCGCTTTCGAAGCGTTCTATCTCGGTCGTCACGCGGGGCGTAAGATCTACTGGCAGTCAGCCATGGGTCAGGCGGAGATCAAGTTTACCGTTGCGAGTGGCGAGTATGATCTCATCACCAGCACACGCCATATGTGCGTGTTGATGCTCTTCAATCGACACAACGTGTTGACAACGGCGCAGATTTCTCAGCTCACATTGATGCACGATGACGAGCTCAAGGCTTGCTTGCAAGCGCTCTCGTGCGTCAAGGGAAAGAACGTCCTCAAGAGAACGCCCGACGGCAAGGAGGTGCTTCCAACCGATACTTTTGAAGTGAACGAAGACTTCTCATCGAAGAGTTCCAGAGTAAAGATCTCCACGATTTCTTCCAGACGAGAGAACGACCACGAACGAGCCAGCAAATCACGGCAGCTCTCCGACGATCGCAAGTATCAAGTCGAGGCCACCATTGTTCGCGTGATGAAGACGAAGAAACGACTCAGTCATAACGACATCGTCGTCGAAGTGACTGCTCAGGTAAAGAATCGGTTCATGCCGACTCCAGCTGACATCAAAAAATATATCGAGGGTCTTGTCGAGAAGGATTACATCAGACGCGATCCGAATGATCGAAGATTGTACGAATACGTCGCGTAGAGATGCACCGTTCAAGAATTGTAACCAACTGTATCTACCGGTAGTCATACCTTTTCGGCGAAAAATGTCTGCCCTAGCTTATCTCTTAAATACATTAGCTAACTACTACCGGTACCTACAACGCATCTATCAGACATCGTCGTCGCTCAACTTCACGGACGTCTTGAGCGCTCTCGTGAAGATGGCACTGTTTTTCACGTTCAGTTGGTCCCGAACACCCACGAGCTCGTCCGCCACGTGTGTCCGAGCTTGGATGATGCGCTCCACCACGTCTCTCGGAGATACTTCGCGTCCTTTCCTCAACGCTGCCTCCTCCGCAGCGTGTCCCGGAACACTGCTTCGCCTCGGATCCTTCACCCGTCGCAGCGGTTGCGCTGCCAGACCGACCAGCCAATCATCCATGCTCGCGCTCTCGCTCAGGTTGAACGGGTTCTGGTGAATGTAGTCGTGCAGGAACATGTGCATCTCCCCGTTCGACTCCTGTAAGTAATGAAGAACGTTCTTCAGGGCTTGTATCGTGATCAGATCGAGGAATTTTCGCTCGCTCTGGGTGTAAAACGGCGTTCGGTTCTCATCCGACGTGTAGTCTTCGTCATCCATCGCGTTCGAGTCGCCGTGTCCACGCGCGGGAATCGAACGCTTTCCCCTCGCGTGGTGTCCCCAGGTGCGCGCATGGGTCATCGCGCGCGCGATGGGCCCGCGATCGTGCGCTGGGATGGACATCGACGATCGGGACGACGCGGAGTGGCATTCAGAGGACGAAAGTGGGGGCTTTGGAGGAGCTGAGGGGGAGAGGTTGGAATCTGTTTCTTCGCCTCGATTACACGTCTCGAACGCGAGGAAGAAGTTTAAGCTGCTAAGCTTTAGTTTGCGACGCTCGCCGCCGTCGCATCAATCTCCGTCACTGAGTACACCTAATTCACCACCAAACTCTCGCTCAAAATCACCCTAAGAAGTCTTTGAGAAGTTTACGCCTTCTTCGCGACGGAAGACGCGCGGCGCTTGGCGAGAGATTCGCTTCGGCGCTCGCGTTGCTCACGAAGACGAAGGGCGAGGAGCTTGTGGTATTCCGCAGCCTCTGACTTTGACTTGGCTTGCTTGGCCTTCTTGGCCGCTTGTCGCGCGTGCTTGCGCTTGATGACGAGCGGGGTCACGAGGCGTTGGATCTTCGGAGCCTTGGACTTCTTCTTGCCCGTGGCGGATTCGAATTCACGGCGGTAGGTGTTGACGTATTGGCGGACGTCATCTTCTTTGGTCAAAGCGAAGAGCTTACGAATCTTGCTCGCACGCTTCGGACCACGGAGACGCGGCACTTCGGTATCGGTGAGGCCCGCGACGTCGGCGTCGCCTTGCTTGACAATGACCAAGTTCAACACGGCAATGTCTTGGGAGACGATGCAACCACGGCACGCCTTGCGTCGGCGTTCACCCTTGCGTCGGCCGTGGCCGCGGAAGCCGCTCGTGCCTTGGGACATGAGCAAGAACACACGTTGGTTCGTCAACACGCCTTGCTTCATGCCGAAGCCTTGCTTGTCGTTACCACCCATGATCTTGAAGACGTATCCCTTCCATTCCTGTGACTCGCGAACGCGATGAGCGTAAAAGTCAGTCCACTGTATCATTTCTTTATGTGCCCTCCAACGCTCGTTCGCGTCCGCGTTCGATCGCGCGTTCGATCGCACGCGCGAAAAGTCGCATCGCGCAAAGCCCTAAACGCGAGTCACACGTACATCGCCAAGGTCGTCACCCTCGACCTCCGCGGAGATGCGCTTGTCGTAGAACGCGCGGAGCTTGTTCTCGTCCGTGATCTCGATCTTCTTTTGCGCGCCCGTTTGCGGGTTCGCGATGTTGAGCTGCGAGTCACGAAGCGATCGCTGAGGTTAGTCTTCGTTCGCACATCCATCGCGTTCGCGGTTTCCCTCCGTCCTCTTCGCCGTTTCCTCGAACGGCCGACCGTTTGACGGCGACTTAACGACGCGAAAGAAACCATCCTATCCACCGCGTCGTCGCGCCACCGCAAGGTCCACCACGCCGCCGTCATCGCGCGCGTTTCGCAACGCGCGCGATCGCTCAGCAGGGTTTCTCCCGCGTCCGCGCGTCGCCGTCGCTTCCGGCGCGTCCGCCGCGCGACGCCCGCGCGCGCGTCGCGTGCGCGGCGAAGACGAGGGCATCGCAACGTTCACCGCGCGCGAAGGCTCCAGGCACACGCACCTTCATCTCGAACGAAGCGTCGGTTTGAGAGGTCGATGCGACCGCGTCGCCGTCGGCTCGTTCCAGACGAGGTCTGTGCCGACCGTGACTGTTTTAAGGACATCGCGCTCAGGATGCCCGTATACGATCAGTTGCGATGTTGCGATTCGAAAATGACCGCGAAATGTCTGTGAAGGCATTCGCGTCACGTTTATACGTACTGGCCGGACATTCGGCGCGAGCGCGCGCGACAGCTCGCCGTGGTCGCTCGGCGTTCAAACGTCATCGCGCGCGCGCCGAGGTCGATGACGGCGTTCGTCGACCGTGCCCCGCGCGCGTCGAACGATGACGCGATGCGCGAGGGATATCCCTCGATCTCCGACGAGATCGTAGATCCGATCGAGCGCGACGAGGATGGATTCATCGCGAACACGTGCGCGCGGTGGGCGGGACGCGAGCGCTCGATCGCAGCCTTGGTGAAGGCGCTCGGTGGGTCCAGGGACGACGGACCGGCGATGTACGCGCACGGACCGCCGGTAAGCGGGAAGACATCGATCGTGCGAGAGGTGATGTTGAGGAGTGAGCGACCGCACGCGTTCGTTTCGTGCGCCACGGAACATAGCGCGCGACTGCTCTACGAAGCGATAGCGGAGGAGTTGACGCCGTATCTGATGGAGTGCAGCGAGTTTTTGAGAGAAGCCAGCGCGGAACAAGTGAAGAAGGCGATGAAGTGCGATAGGTATAGCGATTTAGTGGAGATTTTGCGGACGCATCTCCCGGCGAGTCCGTCCGCGCGGGCGTGTTACGTCGTCGTCGACGAGGCGCAGCGGATGTTACAGTGGCGGGGAGAGCCCGTGGTAAGCGCGCTGCTGCGCCTGGGGGAGCTGAGCTGTCGGAAGGTAATCGTGATATTCATCGGTGAGCAGGGATGGGACACGTTTTGCTCGGTCGCGGGGACGACGCCGTACGAGGGTGTGTATTTTCCCGCCTACTCAAAGGACGAGTTGCGTTTCATCTTACTGAGAGAGCGTCCGATGGATGCGGACGAGATGATGTACAACGGCTTTTTAGGAAACATGCTGGGGACGTTCGCGGCGACGTGTAGAAATTTGCGCGAGCTCCGCGCGACGCTGACGCCGCTTTGGATGCAGTACATCAAGCCATATGATGCAGCGATCGCTCGAGGCGAGACGCCGCCAGAGCCTCGTCAGCTTTACGCTGCGCTGAACGCTAAGAGAGCGCCAGCAAAGGTACAAGATCGAGCGAATGAGCGAGAACGAGAAGGCACGACTTCAAGACGGGACAAGCCAAACGTGCACACTGGCTTGACAGTGCCCCTAAGCGCAGCCGCCTTGGCGCTCGGCCGAGGCGAGTGGCCCGTGGCGCAAGACGTCGCCGGCAGTGGCGCAGGCGGGCGCCTGGATTTTGAGATCCCGAGGCTGACCAAGTTCCTGCTTCTCGCCGCGTTCTTGTGCTCGCACAACAACGACGACGTGGATAAGCGATTGTTTGGAGGGCAGATCGAAGGCCACGTTGCTCGAACCTCACGCACTGATAGAAACGCGGGAGAGCGCGAGCGCGCCGCCGCGGCAGAAGCGGCCGTGGACACCAGGCGAGTGTTCAAGCTCGAACGTCTGATCGCGTGGTTTCACTTCATCACGCGCTCCACATGCGACGAGCACGGCGCCGAGGTCGCGGATCTCGAGGAGGAGCTCCTGAGCGCCGATGTCTTCATGCAAATATCAAGCATGACTCAGCTTGGCCTGCTGTCGATCAATCGCGGGAGCGCGATGGAGGGCGGTCTGTACCAGTGCAACGTTTCTCGCGATCTGGCCGAGAAATTAGCGCAAAATCTCGGGGTCAATCTGCCAACCTACCTTCGATATGTGTAATCAGAAGAAAGACTCTCGGCGATGAGAATACGAAAAGACACAACTGACACTCCGAGGCTGCGAACTTCTCCACCACTGTTCGACACACACGCGCGTGCGAGGGCTAGAAAGCGCTCGAAACTGACGATTTATTCTCGGTATAATCAATCACGCCTCGTCACGCGCGCCCGGACCGACCATACGTGGTCGACGAGCGCTCGTTCGCGTGCGCGCACAGTGCCAAGTAGACCCGAGAAGGTGCGCGCAACGAGAGCAACGTAAGCTCAAGATATGCGTCGATCGAGCGAGGACCATGGGCGAGATGACGACATAGCGGCTCTATTCGACGCCTCAAGCGAGCTCAACGACGTTTTCTCGTCCATGATCGGTGGGTACCCGACCGCTCGCACGGCGAGTCCTCCGAGAACGCCTCCGAGGACGCGTGTGACGATGTACGACGAAATTCCTACGGCGGAGGTTCTCAACGCCCCGCAGTCGCCGATGTACGCTCATTATGGCTCGCCTACGCTAGTACAGTCGCCTCAGCGCGCACCCGGATCGCCGTACGGGACGCACGAGCACGACGCTGAAGGCCATGTGTATCGTTCTCTGCAAGACGATTTGCTGAATGAGATGTTTCGTCTGAATCTCAGTCCAGGGAGTCCGGGCTCGAGCTTTGGCGTGAATCTCACTCCATCGCAATCGCCCGTGTACGGTGGATACAGCGATCATCGAGTCGATAGTGGGCGATCTCTCAGCGCGTCTCCAGCATACGGCCAGCACCCATCATCGCCGAGCACTGGATCCCCCAAACAACAGCACTCCCTATACAAGACAGAGCTCTGCCGAAGCTGGGAAGAGAGTGGGACCTGTCGATATGGATCTAAGTGTCAATTCGCTCACGGTCGAGACGAGCTCAGACCGGTGCTGAGACACCCTAAATACAAGACGGAGGTGTGTCGAACGTTTGCCGCTCAGGGGAGCTGCCCGTACGGATCGCGCTGCCGTTTCATCCACTATCGCGCGCCGGAGGTCGAGGGCACGACCGTCACTCACCGCACCGCTCTATCGGCGCTGATGTCCGGGAAGTCACCGAACGCACACACTGCAGATTGGAGCGACACGTTCCTGGCCACGCCGGCGCCGCTCGATCCGAGACCGGCGACTCGCGCTGCTGCTCCGCCGGACAGCCCCGACGACTCTCCAATCTCCGACGAGACCGCCGATATCTCCGACGCCATCTCTGACGACCAAGCGGATGATTTAGATTTACGTCGTCTACCCATCTTCGCATCCATCGCGGCTTCGCCCGACCGAGACATATTCGATCGGCGCTGAGCCGTCGCCGTCGCCGTCGCCCCACGCGTTTAACGCTTTAACCACTTCGCGCGCTTCTTCGCGCCCATAGTCGCCTCAGTGATCGTCGAACATTTGTAACTGAACGATGTCGCTGCTCTCGTCCACTCGCTCGATCGATCGCCATCGCGTACGCGCGTGCGATCCGCGCGATCGCTTCCCGTCATCATCTCTCATCGGGAGTCCCCTAACGACGAGTCACGACCGTTCGCAACACCGAATTGCAAAACGTCACGTCTTCCGAGACGCCGCGGCACCTCGAGGCGCGCGCGCGATTCCGTCGCCCTCAACGTAGATGACGCCCTCGACGCGGCCGTCGACGCCGGACTTGACGACGACCGAGGTCACGATGCTCGCGAGCGCTCGAACGACCCCGGAGATGAAGAAAAAGACGCGCGATCGCGAACGCGCCGTCGTCTCGGAAGATGAAAGAAATTCTAAAATATTCTTCGATGAACTTCCCACGCCGTCGACGAGTGAAGCACGGGCTGAGGCGAGCGAGAAGCCCGTGGGGTGGACGAGTGGGAGCGATTGCACTGATACGCCGTGGGAAGACGGCGAGTCGGCGGCGGCGGTGGAGGTTGCGGCGATGGATTCGTTTTTGGAGAACCTGGTTGACTTGCCGGTGGACGGCTTGGTCGGAGACGCAGGGTTCTTGGAGGATTGTTTCGGTGCTCTGAGTGGTGAGGAGAGGTCCCAGCAAGAGTTGAGTGCGTGCGGGCTCGTCAAAAACGGAGAGCGATGGGAGGACGGAGCGTCATCGTCGAGGGCAACCGCGTCTGGAAAGGACGTCACGCCGACGGCTTTGGGTGAGACTGAGGAAGAGCGGCGAAAGAGACTCGATCGCAACAGAGAGAGCGCGCAGAATAGTCGCGCGAGGAAGAAAGAGTACGTTTCAGACCTTGAGAAACGCGCGAGGGCGCTCGAACAGCAGAACATGGAGTTGCAGACGATGGTGATCAATCTCACAAACGAGAACCACGCGTTGCGAGTGAATTTGCAAAGCGCCGGGTACTCTGTGCCAGCTATGATGGTGCCATGCGTGTACCAAACAATGACGCCGAAAATTCCACTCCCACCGATGAACGTACAAGACACCGAATTGACGGACCCACCGTCGCCAGTGCCGCTTGAGAAAAAGCCCGCGAAGCGTCGAAGACAGACCGTGGTGGCTTCCGCGACGGCGGCTATGCTTGGCGTCATGTCGGTCGTCGGTCTGGTGTCACGCGACGCTGCTCCTACGAACAGAGTTCCCGAGCACTCGGTCAGCCGACGTTTGTTGGCCCTCTCGGGATCTCCGGTGGAGGAACACTTGGTCAAAGTTGGGATCAACGTCACGTCCCTTCGCGAGGAAATGGTAAAGAACGACGACGAACGTTCTTTCGCGTTGCCAGACAGCACCTCGTCGGGAGAGGTTTCGCTTTGGGGCGACATCACATCGGATGGTCGCGTCGTTAACGTGCTCAAGCCAACGGACGCAAAAGACCCGTGGTTCAGCGCTTTCAATGCGGCAGGGATGCAGAACCATGTGAACCTCTTGAGCCGAGTTTCTTGCACGGAGTTGTTCAAATTTACGGGCGCAAACGAAGGTGGCGTCGTTGCTGCAAGGGAAGCGGAGACGAGTGCGTGGAAAGATGAGGAGTCACGACAAAAGATGGAGCGTAAGAAGTACACCGGGGCCATTCCGATGCTGAGCGGCAAAGAAAACTCAACGAGCTTTTCCGATGGAGGTCACGAAGAGATAGACGGAAATTCGCTCGTCAGCGTGCTTCTGCCGCCGCCTATCGAGGGCGTGATGCAGCAACTCAGTAAACTCTTCGTCGTAACGTACAACAAAAGAACGGCGGATTACACAACGCACTCCTGTTTGATGCCTCAACCGATGACGACGGCACACCGTCACATGTGACGGAACTGAGATATATTGTCAGGGGTTGAACGAATGTACCGGTACCAGTAGACTCTCGCTCAAATCCTTTGTGATAGATCAGAATCAAAATTCCTACTCGTATTCAGTGCTCTGGTTGATGTTCAGACTCAAAATCGAGATGCACAAATGCCCGCTCCACGTCCTCCATGCTCTCGATGCGGTTCTGCAGTTCCTCTCCGATGTCGTGCGCCACCTTAAGCGGCATATCCTCAGCGAGTACGATGTCGACTTCGACGAAGAATTTCGGACCGAACGTGTACGCACGGATGGTGTCGATGAGGACGATATCCGGGTGATGGTTCCATGCGAGGTACGTGAGCTGCGCCAAAAACTCGGGAGGCGCGGTCATGCCTACCATGGATCGAATGTTCTCCATCGCCGTCCCACTCCAGTTATAGATGATGAACGTCGCGAGCAAAATCGCCCCGAGAGGATCCACCCAGTAGTAAAACCTGTCGCCCACGAGCGCCGCCGATAAGCCAATGGTGTTCGTCAACACGTCGTTTCTATGATCCTGCGCGTACGCTTGCACCGACGGGGACTTGCTCTTTCGACAAAAAAGGAACAGCAAGAACTTCAAAACTATCACACCAACCATGATCCCGATTGTGAGCACCAAGTGCTCGAGATGATGCGTGTGCTCGGCCCCTATGAGCTGCCTGATGCCCTCGATGAGCACCTGGAACCCGAGCGTGCCCATGATGCAACTGAACACGATGATCCCTAGCGGTTGCATCCGACTCTTCCCGATCGGATACATGTACTTGTTTTGCTGTCTTATCTTCTTATCCGTCACAAACAGGATCATTCCGCTGATCAAGTCGAGGCAGCTGTCCATCGCGCTCGTGATGATGCTCAGCGATCCGCTGCTCACCGCCGCGAACAGCTTCACCCCCAACAAGATGATGTTCGCGTAGAACGAAACCATCAGCGCCAGTTGCGCCTGTCGATCCTCTCTCTCCTCATCCTCCGTCTTCCCGCGCGACTCCTCGTCCGAGCGTCCGCTCGTTCGCTCCAAGAAGTGCTCGAGCTCTTGGAACTGTTCCACGAGCTGATTCTGCTTACGATAGTAACCCTGCAACTGCGGGCTCGCCTCCGTCGCGGCGTGCCTCGTCGTCGTTCGTCGACGAATGGTCTGTCCGCCCGCTCGAGCGCTCTCCGCGCTCGCCGCCGCGGTAGCTCGCGGTGCGCCGAGGGAGGGTTCACGCGCTATGCGCGAGGCGAGTTCGTTCGCGTTCAGTCGCCAGCTCGCGTCGCCCTCGGCGGCGTCCGCGCCGTCGATGGGCGGCCGAGGCGATCGCGGAGGTTTACTTGACATCCACGCGCGCGATCGAGGGCGCAGAGGGGCGGCGCACGCGCGCCAGGCGTCATCTGTGGAGGACGCGTCTGTTACTTTGTACTTCATAGATTGCGTTCGACGATGAAGGTTGAGCGAGTTCAAAAAAATGTGTATTGATAATGTGCGCACCCACGAGCGTGTTCTGTGGTACTTACGTCTCACCAAACCTTTTCCTTGCCGCCGTTTCTCGCCTTTTGAATATTCTTCATCATCGTGCCGAGGACGCCCCACACGATGGCGAGGAAGAAGAACGCGATGACCATGGCCTTGTTCGCGAGTCTATTCATGTGTGCCGTCATGTCCCAGCAGCACGATTTGTTCACGGTCGTCTCCCCGACGAGGACGTATCGAGTCCCCGAGGTCACGGCGTTGGACCAGTGCATGAGCTGCGATCCGTGCACCGTGGTTCCCCCGATCGGCTGCGCCGGGATGTCGTGATCCTCCAGCTTGTGCACGCCCCCATGCGGTACAGAAAACGCCAGACCCTCGAACACGCTCCCCCCACCCTCGTACTCGGTGACGTTATTGAGCGAAACCACAAACGTCATGTGTCCCCCGTCGCGGTGTCGCGACGCCCGCGGAAACTCCTTCGCGTCGTACCGCACCACGTACCAATCATCGTCCTCGAACTTGAGATGATCATCGATCACGCACTGCTCCCGAGCGAGCGGGATCAACGTCTTCTCGTACGCGCTCCTCAATTCTCTCCGCACGCGTTCGCTCAGCGCGCTCGCGTCCACTTGGCGCGTCTCGTCCAATCCGCCCCACACCTCATCCCGTTCGCGTTCCCACCCCTTGCGCTCCGCCACGCGCAGGGCATCTTTCAGAATATCCTCCGCGACGTCCGCGGGAAACGCCTCGGCGTACGCCCGCGGCGCGCACTTCCACCTCGGGTCGCTCAGGAGCAAGCACTCGCACTCGCCGTTCGCGGTGGCGAACCAGTTCCCACCGCCGATGCGCTCCTTGAGCGTCTTCGCGCGCGCCACGGCGGGCATCGCGCACGCGATCGCCCCCGCGAGCGCCCGCGCGCGGCGTCCACGGCGCCCCATCGCGCCCGTCCCGGGGTGCGGAATATTCGAAAACGTCATCGCGCGCGCGCCGTGCGGCGTCGACGCGGCGGGACGATATCCATACATGGGTCTCTTTAGGCGTACACACCGGCTCGGACGTCCGAGAAAGAGACGTACACGCATCCTCGGCCGGGGATGTACGTACACGTACGTAGTGTATGAGATACATGTCGATGAGAGAGAGAGAGAGAGACGTACGTAGTGTATGAGATACACGCCGATGAGAGAGAGAGACACGTACGTAGTGTATGAGATACACGCCGATGAGAGAGAGAGACACACACACGCACGTAGTGTATGGGATACATGGCGATGAAACACACACACACACGTAGTGGACGAGATCACATACCCGTGAAACGCACACGCACGTAGTGTACGAGATACACGGCGATGAAACACACACACGCAGCCCGAACGACCCCTCGCGGGGGCCTCGGCCCGCACTCGGCGCATCGCGCGCGCGATGTGCGCCCGCGCGCGCGTCCCGGGGCGGACGCGCGGCGTGCGACCGTCGTCGTCCGCGCGCGCGGGCGCTCGCGGGGCGCGACGGGCGCACGCGCGGGGACGAAAAACGCGCGAATGCGCGGTGTTCGTGACGGGTGACGGACGTGAGCCCGAGCGCGCGTCCGACGGGGTCGTGGACGACGCGCGAGGGATGAACGACGGCGACGAGATGGCGTGGGATGATGGGATCGAGCGCGGTGACGCCGTCGATGACGATGCGCTGTTGGCGGACGCGGCGGAGAATCCGTACTTTAACGACGCGTTTCGCGAGGCGCTGGAGGACGCGCGGCGGCGCCAGAGCGAAGAGCGGATGCGGAACAAGGCGAAGATCGACGATGAAGTGTCGCAAATAATGGCCAAGGTTCGAGCGGAGCGGGCGATGCGGGCGGCGGCGATGGGGCAGACGGTTGAGGAAGGGGGCGAGGGGGGGTCGGAGCCTGCGAAGGAGACCGAGCCGGAGCCGGTGACGCCCGCGGCTGAGGCGCCGCCGACGCCGTCGTCGCCGCCGCAGCGTCCCATGGTTCAATCGACGCCGACGCAGGTGGTATCCGGAGACTCGCAGTTCACGGATCTTCTCGAGCGACACATCCTCGAGATGACTGAGACGAGCAAGAACAACATCGCCAAGCTCACGAATGCAAAGGCCGCCGTTGAGGAATCTCTGGCGAACGAAAGGGTCCAGCTCGCGCGCTTAGAGATGCTCATGGATCGCGTTAAAAAAGAGTCGCGATATCGTCGCGCGGACGAAGCCTTGCGAAGGCGAAAACAACAGTAGCAGCCACAGTTAAAACTTATCGACAGAGTTTCATCATTGGCCGCGTGCCCTCTTATAAAGTATCGCGGCTTGTAAATTTACGTATTGGTACAACAAAGTGAGCACAAAGAAGAAATCGCAGCAGTCTACTAAAAGAAGTCGGGTGGCGGTCGTGGTCGACCGTCCCATCCAGGATTTGGTGGTCCAGGGAAACCTCGTCCCGGCGGGTTACGCAAGTCGGCGTCCGGATCCGGATTGTAAGGCAACCCTCCAGGCTGGGGCGGAAACGGAGGTCCGCCGCCCGGCCATCCTCCCCGAGGTCGACCGGGTCCACCTAAGCCTCCGCGACCGAAACCGGGAATCGGTCGCGGCGTTGGATTCGGATTGAGACCTCCGGGCCACATGTCGTAATCGCCGCCGATGATGCCGGGGACGTGACCGGGAAGGTGGCCCGGGTAAATGTCACGTTCGGGATCTGGTTCCAAGCCGTGGCGAGGTAAACGACCGGGCATCGGATGGAACGATTCCATGCGCAATCGCGCCTCCCGTTCAGCAGATCGGCGTATCGCGTGCTGGTTATAAAGCGAGCGAGAAGTAATCCCGCCTTGCTGCACATCGGTCATTTGGTCGATTCCAAAATCTTCTTGCAAAAGATTCGTCCAAAGTTCTTCGTCGGAACACACCTCGCGCAGTTCTCTACACGTGCACGCACTGTAAGCAAGCGAGTAAGCGTTCATCTTTTCTGCGATTTTGCGTTTGACATCCTTCGGAAGCGACATGAGCGTTCCCGGCGTCAGGACGCCAGCAAAGTGCGCCCGCGCGTCGTCAAAGACCTTGTTCGCCATGCCTTCTTTAACCTTTTGCCACAGCGACCGACAGCTCTCAGGAGTCAGATTCCCTCCGTTGACGTAATCGATCGCTCGAATGAGCGTGGCGTAACCGGGACCGCCATCTGTCTCCAATGCTCCGAAGAGCGACAGTTGACCGTCTACCGGCTGCGCTCGCATGGTACACGCGATCGTGTCCATCCCGTTCGGTCCCGTGATGCCGTAGCGCGCCGAGTAACATCCACATCTCGCCAAACCATCGCGAAGAGCGACGTCGCCGATCGTCTTCGCGCCCATGTCGAGCATCAGCGCGTGCGCCGCCAGGAACGCCAACTCCTCCGCCTCGAGCGGTCCTCGCCACTCCTCCATTACCGCTCGCATCTTCCTCGGCATCTCTCCCTCACCGTCACTCATCGTCACGTCCGCTTCCGAATTCACCGTCGTCACCGTCCGATTCGTCACCGCGTTCGCCGTCGTCGTCGTCGCTCTGTCTCCGCCCGCGCGTCCTTCGCGTCCCGCGTCGTCAACTCCGAACCGCACCAAATCCCCGTCGCGCACCCCGAGCGACCGAACGCTCGCGTTCTCCCTCGAAGGATCTCCTTCACCCAGATCACCGCTTCCGTTCAGCGACACTCGCACGTTCCGCGCGTCCACGTCGACGATTCTATCACTTTCGCTCGCTCGCTCTGAATCCACGCGCGCGCGTAAATCCCGTTCGACCAACGTCCTGAGCGCCTCCCTGAGCTCACCGAGCGTGCACGCGTCCGGCACCTCAATTCTCTCCGTTCCGAGCGCGCGCGCGCGGTCGATCGATCGCACGCGGACGCGCATGCGCGTCTCAAACTCGCGCGCATCCGCACGATTGTCACACCGAACGCTAAACCTCGCGCCATTCCTCGTCACACCTCGCCGTGCACGCCGCGCGCGCGCCCGCGAACGATGGCTGGGAGCGACCCGACGGGGGTGAAACAAAACGCCTTCGTCGAGGCGAACGGATACGCCCGAGAGGTGGTCGAACGCGGATTTCGTTTGCGTCCGCGAACGATCGGACTCTTCGCCGTGTTCGGCGTCTTCGTGCCGACGATGATCTACAGAGGAGCCGTGATGGACTTCGTGCGTGCGGCGAGGCGACGGTCGAACGCCCGGTGGCGTTGCGCGCGACGGTGGAGCGACGCGCGAGGGAGAGACGGAGACGCGACGCGCGCGATCGGGACGCCAGGACGAGACGCGGACGAGACGCGAACGGAGAGACTGACGATCGCCTCGGGTCTTCGATCGATGCCAGGACGCGAACGACGCGCGGTACGGACGTCCGAGGAAGAAGTTTTTGTGAGCGCGTCGTCTCGCGCGACGCGCTGAGAGAATTTGTAGTGTAACTTGATAGTCGAACCGCGTCGACGCGCGCGGCGGCGCGCTCGGCGTTCGCAGTGTGCGACGCGCGTCTCGGCGCTCGCGCGCGCGTCTGGACATGCGCGGCGCGTGCACGGTCGCGTCGCGCGTCGCGCGATTCGCGTTCGAGCGCGCACGCGCGGACGTCGCGCTCGAGATGCACGCGATGCGTCTGTTCGCTCGCGAGACGTCGAGCTCGACGCGCGATGCGTGCGCGCACGTCGCCGCGACGCGAACGAGGGCGGTGACAACGACGATGTCGTCGGCGTCGGCGTCGGCGTCCGGGTTCGCGGCGAGCGCGAACGCGAGGAGCGCGAGGAGGGGGACGCCGGGCGTTTCGGGCGCGTTTCGGGCGTATCGAGCGCCCCCGCCCGGGTTCATGGGAAGCGCGTTCGGCGGCCGACGCGGGGGTTTCGGAGACGAAAATCAAGCGCTGTGGGGCTTGATCGCGGCGAACGGCGCGGTGTACTACGCTTGGGCGGTGAGCGAGGACACGAGGTTCATGCGGAAGAACTTCATGGTGAGCGAAGAGGCGCTCGCGCGAGGGCGATATCACACGATGCTCACGTCGGCGTTCTCGCACTTCGATCTCACGCACCTCGGGATGAACATGATTGCGTTGTATTTCTTCGGCAAGAGCGTGTGCGAACGCTTCGGAGGGAGGTACCTATTGACGCTGTACTGCGTCGGAGGCGTCGGCGCGAGCGTGGCGCACGTGCTTTGGTGCCGGCAACAGCGTCGCCGAAGAGTGACGAGATACAAAGAGGGACGAGGAAATATTTTTGATCGAATGGATGCGTACGTGTCGAGGTTCATCGAAGAAAGAGGTGCGAGTCGTGGGTACTATTTCACGCCCGCCGCGCTCGGAGCGAGCGGCGCGGTGAACGCCATCGTGGCGTTTGAGGTCCTACTATATCCATTTCGAACCATTCTGCTATACGCGATTCTCCCGGTGCCGAGCATCTTATTGGGAGGATTGTTCTTGTTGCGAGACATTGTGGGGATCCAGGATTCGCAAGGTTCTGGCGTCGCTCACGCCGGTCATCTTGGTGGAGCGGCTGTCGGCGCCTTAGCATTCGCATCGATCCGCACGCGGCTTCGATGGGGTAGGTACTGAATAGCTCACTTAGCACATAGAAAATATTGTTTCACATCAGTACCGGTACCGGCATCGAGGTACTGTCAGGGTGGCGCGTAAAGAATCGTTCGTTTGATAAGCAATCACCTTCATTTCTAAAAAAGACTCTCATTCCTTGTCCTCCTTCTTGCCTTGTCTGTCGCTTGAAGTGCTTGCCTGCTGACCCATCGCCGAATTCGCTCGCTCATCTATCACGAGACGAGCTGCGCTCGCGGCCGGCGACATGCCGTTACCGGTGTTGGATGCTTTCGCAGCACGGTCATCGGTGTCATCTTGCTTGGATTCGCTGCGCGTGCGAGCACGCGTTGGCGTGTTATCCTGAGCCGACACATTTGGAACGTCAACAGTTCTGGGCGCGACACGATCCCGGTGAGCCTGATCGGGTGGATTCCGTTGCTCCGGTATCTGAGACTGTCTAGGCGGTGATCCGATGATTTGGGAGTACATGTCCTGAATCAAGCTTGATCGAGAGGCGTTGGCACCAGGTGGCGTCGCTCCAGCTTGTGTAGCGCCGGTAGCGCCCGCTTGAGTCATGAAGCTCGGACTCGGAATCGCTCGTAAAACCGATCCTAAGAGCCGGCTCAAAGCTCTTTGCGAAGATCGAGCGTCGCGAACCTCATTCCGGCGAGTCTCCGCGGCGTTTTGTGCGTCCGCCGCCGTCGGCTGAGTGGCAGGTTGCGTCGGCTGCACCGCCGGCTGCGACCCCGTTTGAGCCTGAGGTGGCGCATGTTGCGCGTGCTGAGAAGCTTGTCGCATTAACATCGCTCGAAGCTCAGCTGGAAGGCTGTCCATGTCATGCGCTCCGTCGGGACCCTGGAGGTGATGTAAGATGTGCATCACGTTGGGCAAGTTGCGTTGACCAACCTGTGGGACATTCGCATCCTGGTCGTGTCTGGGCATACCAGGCGGACGCGTGTGTGCAAATGCACCGCTACTGGCGATGTGCGACGTCTGAGGATAGGCGAACAAGCTCCGGGCGTTGTTGATGTCGTCCCCTGCGATAGCAGCACCTTCCGGCGTCATGGCGTTCGGAGGCGGAGGTACGACCGCAATGCATCGCGCAAGCTCACACCAAAGGGCACCTACCGAGTGCATGAGCGTTGCGAGCTGCAGACTCTGAGCCTGCGTCTCGACCGTGTTCTCTCGGCTATCGGGATGATATCTCCTCGCGATGTTATCGATGAGTGGTCCAGCCTCGTGAGCGAGTTGTCGCGCTGTTGACAGCATCGTACCCAAAGTGGCCACTCCCTCTTCACTCTCTTGTCTTGGTGTTGTTCTATTCTCATCCATATCATCGGCGTTCGCGTGAGCGATCACAGGCGGCAAACCGGCGGGAAGAGGAAGGTCCAAACGAGCAAAGGGTCCACACTGGGCACCCCTGCCGGCTCGAAAGCACTCTTCGCACAGGTCGAAATCGTCGTGCGCTACGCTCTTGAAACGAGTACCCCTCACAGGATTGATCTCACACGCGTCGCACTGCACGCCGAAGTGAATCGGTGGCGCGTGCGTTTCGGTCTGATTGACGTTCGCCGGCGTCTCCATTGGCATCGGCTCGCTGCCGCCAACCGAGATGGCTCGCGGCTCGCTGTGCTGCATGCTTCGAAGCAAACGCTCAACATTGTGTATATATCGTCGCAAAGTGTCCACCGGAGATAACTGCGCACTCGCTGCGCTCGCCCCACCTCTCTCGACGGGTTGACCGCCGCCGTTTTCCCCGCGCGCGCGTTGACTTGCCGCCACCGCTCTCGCCCCTGGTGGCGGTCCACCGATCGAGAACTCCACCGTGAGCGCCCCTGACCCACCGCTACCCGCCATCGCCCCCAACATCGCCGGATTCGACGTCAACAGTGACGTGATCATGCTCGATAGATCACCCATGACGCCCGCCTGTTCGCCCTGTCCGTCTTCGCTCGCCGCGCCCGCCTCCGCGCTCCGCTCTCCATCCTCTCGCCCCCCGCTCTCATCCGGCTCGCTGGTGACCAACAACAACGTGTCCCCGTCCTCCACTCGCGCGCTCTCCATCGATGAATCATCGCTCAAGACTCTCCCTCGAGCGAGCAACCGCTGTCGCGTCGCCGGGACCCCGCTCGCGCGCTCGACGATCTCCTTCACCGCCGGCGTCCGCGCCTGCGCGACGCGAACGAACGCGATCGTTCAAACCATCGTCAGTCATCGCCCACTCGAGCCCTCGCCCGCCCTCGCCGCGCGCGGTCGTCGTCGTCGTCGAAAACCATCCTCCGTCTCCCATCGCTCCGTGCCGAGATGCGACGACCGCGTCTCTCGCCTCGCGCGCGCACCGTCTTGGGCACGCGAACGAAGTGCTCGCCCCTCGGATGGACTCGAATGCGCACGCGCACGCTCTCGTCGTCCGCGTCGCCGAGGTCTTCGAGCGACCCCATGGCGCGGTCGCGCGTCGGCTCTTGACGCGAGACGAGAGCGACGCGCGAGACATATCCGCGCGCGCGCGCGCCGGGCGACGCGTCCGGGGCGCGCGCGCGACGCCGGGCGCGGGCGGAATTTTTTATTCGCTCGACGCGCGCGCGCGCGGGTCGAACGCGCGCGCGGCGCGGGCGCAGGGGTCGTTCGACGGGCGGCTCGCGAGCCGCGCGTCGCTCGCGCGTCGGAGCGAGGGACGATGACGGAGGTCCGGACGACGAGCGACGCGCTTCGGACGTGCGCGGCGTACGCGCTGGTGACGGTCGCGGTGGAGTCGTCGACGTCGCCGTTCGCGCTGCGGGCGCAGCGGGCGTTGGGGTGGAGCGTCGAGCCCGAACGCGCGAGCGCTTTTTACGCGTGGATGTTCGCGGTGACGGCGCTCAAGCCGCTGTGGGCGTCGATCGGGGACCGAGACGGACGAGGGGTGAGCAGACGGCTCGTGGTGTCCGTGGGGTGCGCGGTGAGCGCGCTCGGGACGATCGGGATGTCGAGGGCGACGAATTCGTTCGCGGCGTACGCGAGCGGGACGCTGGCGGCGGGCGGCGCGAGCGCGGCGTACGCGACGCTGGATGGATCCATCGTGCGGTTGGGACGAAAGGGCGTCGATGGAGAGGACACGGCGTTGACGGCGCGGACGCAGGCGTTGGCCATGGGGGCGAGGACGCTGGGAGCGGGATTAGGGGAGCTCGCGGGCGCGGGCGCGTTGGCGGCGGTGAGCGCAGATGGAGCGACCGCGGCGGCGGGCGGATGGTTCGCCATCGCTGCCGTCGCGGCGTGGACGTGCGTGAGAGAGGATGATGATGATGATGCCTATGATATTGTCGATGACGATGGTACGGAGATCGATGAGAGTGGGCGGAGGACGAAAGGAGCGAGTGCGAGTGGTCGAGCTCGTGGCGTAGGCGAGCAGCTCCGGGACGTGCTCAGGACGCTCTCGGACGCGACGTTCGCCAGGTGCGCGGCGTGCGTCTTCTTGTATCGCCTCGCACCGACCGCGCTGGACGTGTTCGCGTCGTACACGTACGCAGTTTTCGGTGAGGTGGTGCCGAATTGGGGCTTCGCACTGGCGCAGTTCTTCGCGTCGCTCGGCGCTCTGTGCGCGCCGGCGGCGTTCGGTTGGGCCTTCGGCGGCAGTTCGACGCAAGCGACGAGTTTTGGCGAAGAACGTGGAGGAATGTTAGAGCGCGCGCGCGCGTGGTTCGTCGCGGCGCCGCTCTGGATGATGTTCATCCTCGGTGCGCTCGTGGACGCGATGATGGGGTTGTCGAGGCTCGCGCTCGTGTGGCAGCGTCCATCGAGCGGCGCGGTCGCCTCCATATCCTTGGTGAACGCCCTCTCCACGTTCGGCCTGCGCGTCGGATACATGCCGATCGTCACTCTGGGTGCGCTCATTGCCCCGCGCAACCTCGAGGGCGTCGGGCTCGCCACGCTCGTCTTCGCGAGCGATGTTGGCTCTCTCGTCTCCGCCGGCGTCTCCGGCGCGCTCGTCCGCGCGATGTCCATCGGTGATCCGACGTCCACGGACCCCCAGGGCGCGGTCACACAAACCGGACGATCGTGGCGTCCGCTCACTGCCTTCCTCTTCCTCGTCTTCGCCTGCAAATGCATCATTCCCGCCGTCGCGTCGCCGCCGCTCCTGCGCGCGGCTGGCCCGCGTCCCGGACGCCGTCTCGCCCCCGCGCGCGAGTTCGCGCGCGTCCCGACGCACGAGACCTCCGACGCCGCGTCTACCGTCCATTGTACCCCCGTGTAAGTGTAAAAACAAAGCATCCACGCCGCCTCTCCATCGCTCACCGCCTCGCGCGTCTCCGCGCGCCCGTCTCGCCCGCGCCGCGCTCGGCGCCATTCCACACCCCCAAAAAGCCGCCGCCGCCGCCGCCCCCCATCGCGCGCCTCGCCCTTCCCGCGCTCGAGCGTCCGCGATGAAGCGGAATAAGAAGCGTCGCGAGCGCGAACGCGCGTCCGAGGACGCGGACCCGTCGACCGCTGGTCTCGCGCGCGCCGCCGTCGACGTCGCGAGTGACTCGGAGGATGAATTCGCGGCGAGCGAGTTTTCGGAAAAGCGCGCGCGGGCGACGGTGAAAGGGAGCGGATACGTCGTCGAGGGCGGCGCGGGCGCGCGCGTGGAGCACACCGGGATAAATAAGAGTGAAAAGACGCTGGTGCTGGCGTCTCGGGGGACGACGTCGAGGTACAGACACTTGATGCTGGACCTGACGACGCTGGTGCCGAACGCAAAGCGAGACGCGAAGATGGATACGAAGAATGAACGGAGCGCGGTGGTGGAAGCGGCGGATCTGCGAGGATGTACGTCGGCGATGTTTTTTGAGTGCAGAAAGAGACAGGATTGTTACATGTGGTTGGCGAAGACGCCGAGTGGACCGTCGATTAAGTTTCACGTGGAGAACGTGCACACGATGGCGGAGCTGAAGATGACTGGGAACCACTTAAAGTTTAGCAGACCGTCCCTGCACTTCGCGCCGGCGTTCGATGACGAGCCGCACCGGAGATTGATCAAGGAAGCGTTGATTCAGACGTTCGCGACGCCGTATAGACACTTCAAGAGCAAGCCATTTTACGACCATCAGTTGTGCTTTTATTGGGAGGACGGACGCGTGTGGTTCCGAAACTACCAAGTCGTGCACCCGGCGGGGAAGGAGGCGCGACAGACCGGCCTGACGCTCTCTGAGACCGGACCACGATTGTGCTTGCACCCGATAAAGATCTTCGCCGGCGCGTTCGCCGGCGCCGTGCTCTTCGAGGACGAATCCTTCGTCTCTCCCAACATCCGTCGCGCCGAGGAGAAGAAGAAGGATGTCGAGCGGTATCAGAAAAAGGTTCAAAAGAAACAGGCTCGCAAGGCGCACAAGTCCATGAACGCCCTGAAAGCTGGTGAGCTCGACGATTTATTTCGCGAGGGCGACGATTAGGATCGCGCGATCGTTCATCCGTCGCGCTAAAACTTTTGTAAAACTTGGTACAACCAACCGACTCGCCGCGCGGCGCCGCACTCATCGACGTCCTCCACCTGCGCCTCGACCGACGTCGCGCGCGATGTTCGTCCGCGCTCGAGCGCGGTCGGACCGACCGCGGTCGTTCGCGCGGTACGACACGCACGACGACGCTCGACGCGCGCTCGACGTCGCGTTCGCGCCCGGGCGCAATAATGGCGTCGCGAATGTGCTTCCGACGCGTCCGCAACCGTACGAACGATTGAGAGCGACGCGATGGCGCGTGCGAGCGGTGATGCGTCACGCGTGGGCGTCGCGGGACCTCGCGAGCGCGGCGTTGGCGACGGCGACGCTGTTGAGGATGACGCGCGGACGAAGACAGAGACGGGACGAGTACGCGAGCGCGCGTGCGGAGGAGATCGGAATGGAGCGAGAGGCGCTGTATGGGGCTCTGGAGGCGCTGGAGAGCGATGATGGGGAACGTGGGCGCGGGCGGTTCGGGGGGGTGAACATGGACGCGGTGAGAATAAGGGATAGGATCAGGACGAGGAGCGCGGTGGGGAGCGCGACGAGCGAGGTGGACGCGATGGAGCGAGCGACGCGGACAGCTCTGGAGGAGAATGATTTCGATTCGGCTATATCGATCTGCGAAAAACGGAGGAGAAAGACACCGACCAGCGCGATCGGGATCGAAACGGGCTCGAAAGCGTTCGTGGCGCCAGGGATGTCGATGAAGAAAATGTCAGCGCTTTTGAAACACATGCAATGGGTCCAACGCATGCGGACGCTCGGGTTCGCGAATCTGGCCGATGACGGCTATAGGGTCCTTCCACTCATCTGGAAACCGAATAAGCGGAATAAATACACGTCGACGGCGATCTCAGGTGACGCCGAGGCGCTCAAGTACGCCAAGGAGGCGAAACTAGCGTTGCTCGATGCGATACGCGTCGACGAGGCGGACGCCACGCTCGCGGTCGCCCTGGCGCAACTTGAGGCTTTCGAGGGAAATTTCCTGCAAACCAGAGACAGGTTAATGAAGTGTCTCATGAAAAATCCCGACGATGCGGATATCAACGCCGCATACGCGGAGCTTCTCATCAACGCTGCACATACTGGATACCCGAAGGAATCCAAGTTGAGTTCTGACACGTTTCGTGTTGAAGTTTTCAACGCGTGCAAGTCCGTATTGAGGCTTGACCCGACTGCGCCAGCAATGTTAACGATGATTTGGAAACTTCTCGATCGAGATCGAGGAGATTTTGAGGAAGAGGCGAGGTTTGTCTTGGAGTCTGTAGTCACAGCCATTGAAGTGGACCCGGCGAATCGACGCGTCTGGCTCATGTTGGTGACCATGTTGACCGGTCTGGAAACGATCGATTACGCAGGAGACGAAGACATTGTTAGTAAAGCCAATATATTTCGGCAGCCGCTCACGGCGAGCTCCGTTCAACGCGTTTTCGACGACGAGAGGAAGCAATGGTGGCCAGAGGTCTTCTTCCAGCACTCAAAGTTGCATCGCCCGGGCCGTCGAGGTGGCAACGACCCGACCGACGAAGACATCGCTTGGTATCGCATCTATAAAGTCGTCATGCGCATACTCTTTGAGGAACGTGCGAGCGCTCGATACACGCAGGTGCGCCACCAGCTAGTTCTGTACAAAATTCGATTCGGCAACGTGTACAAAATGAACGAGGAGCACGAAGCGATTCTCAAGAAGACGCTGGTCGAACGAGCTCGCCTGTACAATCCCAATCCTGTATTAAAGCGTTCATCTAAAAAGAGCATGGCTCTGGCGAAAAAGCGGCAGCAGGAGCAGCACCGTGTCGTCGCCGAGACTACGATTAGTGATTCCACTATGAAGAGAATGAGAAGAGCTTTCACGCGCAAGCGTGAGCCTTTGAGCGAGAAGCACGTGGATTCTTCCAATAAAAAGTTACGCAGAAGTGCACGAATTCGTTCACCGTAGGCGTGGTATCATCAGTAGCCAAGTTAGATTGTATTTCACGTAGCAATGTTAATCCTTGATCGCAAGCGTGATGCCAACCGGTGCGTGGTCGGACCCGGTGACTTGATCAAGTATGAAGGCGTCGACGACTTCAACACCACTGTCATCGCCATCAAAGAGCCTTTTCGACGCAACCGCGTAGTCTAATCTCAATCCTTTGTTGAATGGCCGATTTCCCGCGCGTACGCTCCAGTAAGAGAACCACCCCGCAGCGTCTCCATGAAAGAAGCGGAACGAGTCGTGAAGACCGTTCTCTTCGAGCATGACACCGAAAGCCCCTCGCTCTTGCGGCGTCGTGCCCGCACTCTTCTTGATATGAGACGCGGTCACGTTCCAAATGTCCGCATCCAAGTGCGCTACGTTCAAATCACCAATGTAAATCACGGGCTTCTTCGCGTCAAGCGCCTTGAGATGGGCCTTCATGTCGCGCTCCCACTCCTTGATTCTGTAATCCAATCGCTTCAAATCCTGGCCGCTGTTCGGCACGTACGCGGACACGACGTAAAACTTCTCATACTCAATAGTCAGCGTCCGCCCCTCGTCCACGTACGCTGTCCCTCCCTGAAGCCCCTCCGAGTGCGAAACAGCTTTGAATCCGTCGCTCACCGCCGGCTTTGACGCCCCGCCTAACATCGCCTCAATCGTCACTTGTCCCCCTTTCCGTCCCTCCCTCGACACGGCGACGATACCGGAGTACCCCTTTTTCGCCGTACTCACCGCGAACCTTGTCGTGTCGTACCCCGGACACAGTTCTTTCAACTTTGATCCGAATGCGTCGATGTGCGACATCTGCAGCTTGTGTTCCTGCAAAATAATCACATCCGGTCTCTCTTCCTCCACGAGCGCCCTCAACTTCGCCCCAGACTTCTCGACGAACGAGCGCAAACCCGCGACGTTCCACGAGATCGCCTTGAATGTTTCACGGCCGTCTCGCGTCGTTTTCGCCCCCGGCGCGACGTTTCTCGCGATTTCTGTTTGTTCAAAACGCTTCGCCGGTTCCTTAGTCTTCGACGCCTTCGTCTCGCTCGGTTTCGGTCTCTTCGCCTCGGGTTCATCGGCGTTCATTTCGCCGCTCGATTTTGCCTCGTTCGCGGAGGTCATCGAACGCGGTGCGACGCGTCGTCGACTGCGGGAAGGAGCGCAGAGTTTTCGCCGAGCATGCGCCACGCGCTGTTTGCATCGACATCGTCGTCGATTCGGAGGCTCACGGGACGGGCGAAGGGTCGCAATGCGCGAGTGATGGTAACGGTCACCGCGGCGGGCGGTGCACGCGCGATACGTGCGGTGCCGCTGCGCGTGGTGACTGTTTCCAAGGGTGGCGGCCGTGCGTTTGACGACGCGTGCAAGGAGTACGCCGATCGATGCAAGCGGTACAGTGGGTTCGAGGAGGTGCAGGCGAAGCAAAACCCGAAGAACGTGAAGGATAATGCACTGCAAAAGGAGCACGAGGGCGAGCGGGTGATGAAATTCGTGGGTGATCGGGATTACGTCGTCTTGCTGGATGAGCGCGGCGAAGAGGTGTCGAGCGAACAGTTGGCGGATATAGTGGCGAAGATCGGTGACGAGGGACACGAGCGCGGGGTTTTTATAATCGGTGGCCCCTTTGGACACGGCTCGCAGGTGGTGAAGCGCGCGAATAAGTCGATCAGGCTGTCGAAGATGGTACTGAACCATCAGGTGGCGCGCTTGGTTTTGACGGAGGCTCTGTACCGCGCGCACACAATTTTGCGAGGTGAACCGTATCATCACTGATCGTTTTTCAGTTCGTGTCTGTCGTGTAAAATTACTGTAGCAATCGTTCCTATTATTTCACAACTCAAATCTATCGTTTCTTGAGGAGAACCCCGGACTCGAGGTGCGGCGTGTACGGAAATTGATCGAAGACGGCGAACCTTTTGACGTCATGCGTCTTCGAGAGAACACGGCAGTCCCTCGCCAGCGTCTCCGGGTTGCACGAGATGTAAATAATCCTCTCGAATTGCGCACAGAATGTGCTCACCTCGTCTCCCATCCCAGCTCTGGGAGGATCGACGAGTATCGTGCTCAAATCGTACGATGCGAGATTGATATCTTTCAGGCGGGTGTACTCGCGTCCACCATTGAGCGCGTCGGAAAGTTCCTCCGCGGAGAGCCTCGCGATGACCAAGTTATCCACACCGTTCGCTGCCATGTTCACTTGTGCCGCAGCCACCGACGATTTAGATATTTCCGTCGCTAAGCACTTGCGAAACAACGGCGCGAGTGCAATCGTGAAATGCCCGTTGCCACAGTAGAGCTCCAATAAATCTCTTGTACTGACGTCCACGCTTCCCTCGCCGTCGGGCGAATCGTTCGTCGCCACCGACCTAGCCCATTCGAGCATCTGCGCAGCGATCCCAGCGTTCGGCTGCGTGAACGACCCCTCCAACTGTTTGTAGCTAAATTCTCTACCATCTACCACCACCTTTTCCGTCACGAAATCCTTTGCGAGCACCTTTTTTTGCTTCCTCGCCCGTCCAATGATGTCGATACCCAACCGAGCTCGCATCGCCTCCGCCTCGCGCTCCCAGTTATCATCCAACTGCCGATGATACAACAGGCTCACCACCGCATCTCCCGTCGTCGTCGTGAGAAAATTCGCCTGAAACAGTTTTCTACGCAGCGTCTCCGTCTTCGTCACCTCTCGTAACAGCGCCGGCATGAGCTCTCTGATTTTCTTCGATGCCATCGGGAAGTCCGCGATCTCCACCGGTTCCTTCGGTCTATCCGAGTCCGACATCGCGTAATAACTCCTATCACCGTCGTGCCACACCTTGAACTCGGCGCGCATGCGAAACTCTGTCCTAGCGCTCTCGTGCGTCTCCGTCTGCGTTGGCAGCGCGCAGACGTCGTCGAAGTGCGATCGCGCGATCGCGATCTTCTCCGCGAGCTCCTCGGAGTAGGATTCGGGGCGACATTCAACGTCTAATCGCGCGCGCGGTGCGGTGAGGCGAACGCCGCGGCAGCCGCGAGAGGCGGCGGCGCGAGCGGACCTGAAAAAGCGCGTCGAAGCAAAGCGACGCGCCGTGAGGTTCGCCGAGGCGCTGAACATGGTGTTCGAGCGCGTGGAACGTTAAAAGTCAGATGTTTCACCACTTGTGCGCGTTTTGGGTCGAGACGCGCGCGCGTGAGGCGCGACGACGTCTGACGCGACTGCCTTGAGGAGAGGCGTAGAGGAGCGCGTCCGACGATGTCTCACGTCTCGCGTAACATTTATTTCTCTCTCTATGCCAAGTCGCGGGCTATGGTTTCTAAGGCCTCGAACAATTCATTCGGGGTACCGAATTCGGGCGGTCCAAAGCGCTCAGATTCACGGAGCATGGCCTTAATCTCAACGACACCGTATTCCTCGATGAGCGCTCCGAGGGCAAGCTCCACGGTGTCGCAGAGTCTTCTCGCCGTCGCCACCGCCGGCGTGAAAGCCGGCGTCACGGCACCGTTTGCGGTATTTCTATTCGTCGCGGTGATACCTAAGAAGTACAGGACGCTGTTGACGAGTCTATCGCGCTGCGCAACGAGGGAATTTGCCTTTGAAGACAAGGCCAAATCGCTCGACGTAAATCCACTCGACGTGCGAACAGGCGGTGAACCTTGTTCGATGATCGTCCTACACGCCAACAACGCGATGAGCTGCGCTCGAACGATCGCACTCAACGTCGGATTGATCACGCGCGCGTTACCTCGAACGTCTTCCTTTCTTGCGGCAACGGCAAGTGAGGATGACGCGCGGGCTCCCCAAACTGCTAACTGACCAAACGACTTCACTACGGCGTGCAACTCGCGCGTCGCGACGTCCGCGGACAGAGCTTCGCTCTGTCTCAAAGCATTCCAAGCTTGCTGTGTTTGAGCGCTCTCGTGCTTAAATTTCGGCTTCGGCATGTTCATCTGGACGTACTTCTCACTGATCCGTTGCGCGGCGTCCGCATCTGTGTCTCGCAATGCGGCCAACATGGTACGATCCATCGCCTTGTTCACCGCTCTGGAAATCATCATGAGCGGCGCGAGTGCGTTTGATATCGCCACCGACCAAGCGGCATCCGGGGTATCGCCGTAAATGAGCTGACGCCTTCCACGACCACCGCTCTCCGCGACATAACATAAGTCCAAATACGCCAGGTGCTGCACGAATGGAATCTCGAAATAGTTCAAAGCCGCCATAAGAGGCTCACTCGCAACCTTTGGACCCTGCGCCAGGCTCTGCGGTCTGAACTCGTAGCGCTCGGTGTGCACGAACTCCGCACAAAGGATCGCAAGCACCCAAGAGGTGCTCGCCAGTGCACCTGCACCCCAGCATGACGCCGAGCCAAATAGCAAACCGCGTGATGACTTCGCGCTGAGTTGCGCGACGTAACGACTCGTAATGACGACAACGACGTGCGCCGCGCACGCGTGCAAGGAGCGAATTAACCCAACTCGCGCGCTCGGCAAGAAGCTGCGTTTCAAACGCAGCGCTCGTGGTCGTTGGATCGTAGGAAACGCCACTATGAAACCATCCTTCGTCCACAGATATATCGCCGTCAACACGCCCAGAACGCACCCAAACTGTGCCGCGAACGCGGGATCGCGCTCGTTCACGGTGAACGTACCGGCCAATGACCTTGCCGCGGTCGACCTCGCCGTCAACGAGCACGCCATACTCCCTGAGCACGCAAACGCGCCTACCAGCGCCCCTATCGTCGCCCCATCTCGCATCATCGCCGTTGCGAACCGTTCACCGATCCGTTCGCCCTTCACCACGCCGCATCCGTCTCGCTCACCGTTTGGGATGAAGTCTGAGCTACTCGCACGCGCGCACAGCGCCGTCGCCGCGCTCGCCGGGAGCTGCAACAGCGCGTACGCGAGCGCCGTGAAGACGCGCGAGCGCCCATCGGAGCTACCGCCGAAGAAATCGAGCGTTGTGAAGTACGCGAGCGCCTGTATGAGCGATAACGCCGACGAGCGAGACGCGTCAGTCAAGGGAATTGGATTCGCGCAAGCAGTGTCAAAGTCGAATTCGTTCGGTCTCGCCCGCTCGCGCGTCGTCTCGAAGGCGTACGCACCGCTGAGAAGGTGGCCAGGGCGGACCACGCAACGACACCGACGCATCGCCAGAGCCTGAGCTCGGCGACGTCGCGCGTGAACCAACGGGTGTCCATCGCGTCGTCGTATGAGGGGACTGAGACACATGGCGGATTGATAACACTGCGCCGTGTTAAAAAATGCTAAATCCTGCTAGAAAATTGCAATTACGCGATGGACATGGTCGTGAAAGAGTCCATGTGATCAAATCTGCGAAGGTTGCGAATGATTGCGTCCTCGAGAGTCGGGATGGATGAGCGCAAGGACTTAAGGACATCTTTATCGATGGCGAGAACGTCCAAGGGTTCGTCCGCGACAACGGTGGCCAAACGCGGCTGGCCGGTGAGCAGAGCGAGCTCACCAAAATAATGACCGGGGCCGAAGTGTCGAAGGATGCGATCTTCGGAAAGCTTGCTCCCAGCAGCGATGCGATCGACATCGCTGTCTGACTTGGTAGAAACCGCCGAACCTTTGAGGACAATGTAAAACTTGTCCGCTTGCTCGCCACGGCGGATGACTTTCTGCCCAGGTTTGTAACTATAGCGCTTTGATTGTTTCACCACCATGGCGCGCTCGTAAGAACCGAGATCCTTGAACACAGGAATATTTGCCAAGGTACGTTCGTATCGCAAGCGTCGCCACGCCATTCCGATCTCCTTTGCAGGATCCGTCAAACCGTCGTCAAAGAGCGCGATGGACGCATCGTCCTCCGCGAGACAAGATTCAAACGCTTCTCGTGGCACGGCCATCAAACTAACGTCGTTAACGGCGGTCACGTTCTCTTGGCTTGGACCCGAGGTGACCATGAAAGTTTCGCCAAAGTAGCCTCCGCGATGAATAACATCGTGTCCTTCGTAATCAGACTTGTTGCCGTTCTTCGCGTCCGCAACCTTGACTGAACCATGTGTCATGATGTACATCTCCCCAGGCGAATTGTCGCCGGCACTGACGATGGTTTCACCAGCCTTGAAATGTTTTGTTTCCACCATGCACGCCAATCGAGCCTTCTTCTCCTCAGACAAGGCGTCGAACATGTGAACCTTCTCGAGCACAGACTTGTTGCGCTTGAGTAACATGTTCCTTTCGCTACCCGTTATGAGCTCCAAAAGTGCAAACATGGCGGCGTAGTGCGGAGCCGTTCGAAGAAAGTGTGCTCCTGAACCTTTGTAAAGCGCGAGCGGACCTTCGCGGATAACTATGTACCTAAATGCTCTCATCACGTTCTTGTGTATGTGCGGCTTGAGATAGACGTACGCTCGCGACGTATCGATCGGTTGCATCACCGCCACCGATGCCGCGGCGCTGAGCACGCCGCTAACCGCCCCGAGCACGGGCGAACCCGGGCTCAGAATCATGTTTCGCACCAGCGCCTCGCTCGCAATAGACTGCACCGTTAAATTCACGCTCGAGCCGAGCATGTCCCGCATCACGCTCGCCCACACGCCCTTATACAGCGTCTTCCACCCCTCTTTCGCGCAAATCTTCTTAAACGCTGCAAACCCGTTCTCGTACTCGCACATAGCCGCCGGCACCTGCATGCGCGTCTTTATCAAATCAAATGGATTGCTCGACACCGCCCCGACCGCCCCGCTCATGCACCCCGCCGCGAACCGCTTCCACGCCGGCGCCGGCGCGTCATCGTTCTCGTGTATCGCCATCAAAATCGGCGCGAACAGCCCGATACGAAACACATTCTTCGAGCTCTCCCTCGCCATCGCCACCGGTAAACCTCTGTACGGCCCTCTGAGCGCGCCCTCCTTTTGCACCATATTCTTCACGACCTCGCGCATGCTCTTCCCCCACGTCTTCGCCGATCCCGGGAGTTGCATCAACGTCTTCGCTCGGTCCATCGGGTTCGTCACCAAGACGCTCACGCACGACGCTACGGCGGAGTTCGGGAGGGAGACCCATCCGGGGAGCTGGAGCTTGCGCTCGCTCGGTTTGCCGTTGGCGTGTCCTCGTCTATCGCGTCTACTGACGGTTAGGGTGGATTGCGCGGTCGAGACGCGAGGTGGCGTCGACGCGACCGCCGAGCCTCGGTTTCGCGGCATCGCGCGCGAGTCCGAGGGCGCCGCCGGCGCGGTGAAGTGAAGAGGGTAGGCGGCGGTTACGCGGTCACCGCGCGAGCCGCCGGGGCGGAGCGAGGAGCGCGGAGAATGTGAACGATCGTGAACGTGGAGGTGGATGGCGAGCGCGGTGTTCATACGTGGATATTTACACGATATCGTCGTCGTCGAAGTCGTCGTCATGGTCGTGGTCGACGAAATCGAAATCGTCGCCGTCGGAGCGCGCGCTCGGGCGATGGAAATCGGCGTCGTCGCGTCCGGACGGACACTTTGCCAGAAGTTCCTCGGCCATCTCGCGGTCGGGGACGGATGGACCGGCTGCTGCTGCGGCGAGATATTTTCGCGTGTACCAGTCGGGCTCCAAATTACGGACGGACATCTCGGACATGATGCGCGGAGCGTATTCGGCGAATCCGCCGCTGGCAACCGCGCAGTGGAAGAGCGTGTTGTACGTCGAGACGACGGGAACACCGCCGCCCTCGACGAACATCTGCACTCGTTGAAACGCTTGGTTGATCTGACCGAGGTGCACATACGCGATGAGGACCGAATTGAGCAGCCACGTGTCCCATTTTCCATTTTGCTGCGCAAAGTTCTCGGCAATTGCTATCGCCTTTGTTGGTTCCGTCTTGGCAAGCGCCAATACCGCGACGCTGATCGTGATGTGATCGAGGATCACGTCCTCCGGCACATCACTGAGCATCTCTAATACGATGTCCGACTGACCTAAAGCCCCTCTGGCCTTGAGTAACGCTGTATACGACCGCGAGTTGTGTTCAACATCACTCGCGAGCATATCCAGCTCAACCGTGTCCAGGGCCACTCGCGTTTGCTCGAGCATGGGATCCGCCGCATCGCTTGCGTCCGTGAATACCTCATTGCCGCTCTCAGAGAGTTCAAAATCTTTCGCCTGCTTTTCGCACGCGGCGAACAGAGGTATGAATGTGTCTGGACCAGCAATGACGCCCGACTGCGCCATGCTCGAGCGCGCGTTGAGTGCGGCTTCCAAATCCCCCGCTCGAGCGCACGCGCTCAACAATATATTGTACATCGTTGTATCGAGTTTGACATCGCGTTCTTGCATGAGTTTCAGCACCTGAGCGACCCCTTGCATATCGCCATGTGCCGCGTGCGCCTGCATGACGGTTGAAAACGTGTGTGTGCTCGGCTCAATGTCTCGATCTTCCATGGCATCCACGACCTCTTGAAACCTTTGCATGGTTTCGTCCAAATCTACTTCACCGCGGCTCTTGAGCTGCGAGCGGACGTATTCCGCGCGCAAGAGCGCGTTAAACGTCCGCACGTCTGCCACAACACCTAGATCTTCCTCCAACCGAATAAACCAATCATTTACAGTGTCTACATCGCCAATCTCGGCGAAAGCACTCATCAACGCGTTCGTGGCGATACGCGACTCTTTACTACCAACCTTTTTGATGTCTTCATCGCTCTCTATTTGATCTTTATACTCCACTTTGCCTCTCTCCCCTGTCCATCGAGCGTACGGCGTTCCCATGTGATTATTACGCCTCAGTTCCTCAAATTCCTCGTCTGACCTTTTGCGACCGATGCGCTCGTACATCTCCTCGAGAGATATCACGGCGAGCGCTCTCGCCTCGGCGGCGTGCGATGCTTTCTGACGACCATGAATGGCGTGCGCGACAACGCGCTCTTGATGCGCTTTCAATGCGCGCGCCTTCATCTTTGATCGGTTCCAAACGGCTTCCACCGACGCGCTCGTCCCCGCCACGCGCTCGAGCTTCAACATGCAATGCAACGCGTCGGCCAGAGGCGGAACTCCGAACTCGAACATCATGGTCTCGATCTCCTGCATCATCTCCCGGTCGCCCGCCAGCGCCGCGCCGTTCATCACCGTCGTGAACAACATCGGGTTCACCTGTCTCTTCGTCGCCCGTCGCTGATCACCGTCGATCATCCCCCCGATGACGTGGTTTAAATCATACTTTTCATCCGTCCCCTCATCGACGCCGTCCGAGACGCCGTACAAGTGCATCTTCAACCAATCGAGCGCCTCTCGTCTCCGTCCCGCCCGCACGAACGCCGACATCACCGCCGCGTGCGTCCGCACATCCGGCGTCGCGTTCGCCGCCAACATCTGTTCCACCACGCGCAGCGCCACCTCCGGCTGCGCCGCCTTGGCCGCCGCGAGCAATTGCACGTACCACGCGCTCGCCCCCACGTGCGCCACCCCCGACGTCGACAGCGCGTCGAACGCCCCTCGCACGCCCTCGAAATCGTTCACCGCCAGC